TGTGCTTGGATGGGGTTATGCTGGGCTTCCACAGTCCTGCAGGTACCTCTTGTGGTGGGATCACTGCCCCTCACCTGTCTCTCACCTGTGCCTGGATGGGGTTATGCTGGGCTTCCACAGTCCTGCAGGTACCTCTTGTGATGGGATCACCGCCCCTCACCTGTAGCTCACCTGTGCCTGGGGTCAATTAGGGTCGTGCCGGGCTTCCGCAGTCGCTTGTGTCACCATCAACTCCCAGGGATTTTGGGAAAGTTGCTGTAAACTAGTGCTTAGTGTTGAGTTCAGTGCAGTGGAAAACATGACAGAAAAAGGAGAAACCTCCAGCAGGGTTGGCTGTTTCCTCCTGTCTGTGGGCAGGTTTCAGTTGAGGGTCCCTAGTGCTTAGCACTGACACTTTTCCAATGCTGAGCTTGAGAGAGAAGTAGCCTCTGGCCATGTGCAGAGGACCTTTTACACCATCATCACCATCATCATTATTGTGCAGTGGTTTGAGCCCCATCCTCCCCTTCTGGAAAGCCTTAGTCTTGAAAGTGTAGCCCACCACCCAGCTAAACCTCCATTGCAGAGGGGAGGGGGATTTCTTCACCAGGTTGTCAGAGTAGAGTTAGTAGCCCACTAAATGTCTCAGCTCCTTTTACTCTCAGCGTGATAAAAACTCAAAAAAATACACATAAGTCTGTTGATCTAAGTAGAAACAAAAATATAGTTCTATTCACCGTAGATCAAAAACACAAAGCAAAAGAGAAAAATTGTTCTCAACAATATGCAACAAACAATATCTCTGTTGAGTCTTCTTCTTTACACAACGATATGCAAACATATAGCAAAATAATACAGTCTCTCTACTTAGTTATCAGTAGAATGTCCTTGTCTTGCCATAAACAAGCAGTTTCTCTGGCACTCCAAACGGATTCAGTCTTCAGCTTCAGGACGCTGCATAACCACTCCCAGCAACAGCCAAAGGTTTCTTCCGCTCAGAACGAGCCACCAAGCTCAGCCAAAATGCAAAGCTCAAAGCTTGCAAGCCTTAGTGCCTTGTTATATGCAGGAACCCAATTGACTTGTGGCAGCTGTAACAGAAAAGGTTCTGCTCCTCCCTGTTACTTAGAAAAAGCCTGTTGAAAACCTCTACTAGCAACACAGATGCCCACTCATGTTGGGGTCCCTTCACCCCAAGACACAGACACAAGAGAGGTTGCATGTCCCATTCTCCTAGGCTGCCCTTGTTTTCCACAGGATCTGGCAGAGCGCATGGAGCTGGACACACGGACGACTCTGTCCCTCTGGAAGGACAAAGCAGCTGTGGAGATGAACGTGGCCGTCCTGCACAGCTTCCAGGTGAGGCTGGAATATTGTTTACCTTTGAAAGCTTTTCTACCAGTCCGTGCTATACAGCCTTTAATATCCTAGCAATGCACAATGTTCAGGGCAATGAATGATGCTTTACTTCAGCAAACACAAAGGATAAGCAAATGCAATTGAAAAGTGCAAAAGAAAGCAAGGAAATCTTAATCCAGACACAAATTAAAGTCTCTTACAAAGTCCCAAAAGAAACACCAGTCTTCCATCAGAGAACGGGCAATGAACTAAGTCCTTGGCAGCAGACACAAAGCAGATTCCATTGGAGTGAAAACACAGATATATAAACCCACTTTCCTAGTTCCAATAGACCTCACTATCTCTGAGGATGCTTGCCATAGATGCAGATGAAATGTCAGGAGAAAATGCCTCTAGAACATGGCCATATAGCCCGAAAAAACCTACAACAACCCATCAGTATCAGGGTTGTTGTTACCAGCGAAAGTTGACTGCTCCTGCTTCTGATTTATAGCCCTGAATTCCCATACAAGAGGTGCTAGGGTGTCTCTCAATTAGCTCAGCGTTTTTAGCAGCTATTCTGTGCTCTGTCTCTTTTCGTCTCTCTAGAAATGTGGGCACTTTCAAACCCTCATTTTCTGATTCTTCTTCTCCCTCCAATTCCTGAGCACTTCCCTGCTCTACTTCCTCTTCCGAAGATGAGAAATCCCTAACACTCAGTTGTGGTGTTTTCTTCCTGGCCTGGAGTGCAACACCAAGGATCATCCTCCCTCCTTCTTCTCCCCTTCTGCAGGTAGCCAAGGTGACCATCGTGGACCACCATGCGGCCGGGGAATCCTTCATGAAGCACCTGGAGAACGAGCAGCGGATGCGGGGAGGCTGTCCCTCGGACTGGGTCTGGCTGGTGCCCCCCATCTCCGGGAGCCTCTCGCCCATCTTCCACCAGGAGCTGGTCAACTACCAGCTTTCTCCTTGCTTCCGGTACCAGGTCAGGCCGCCCACACACTATGATTATTCTGTGGGTTTTGATATCAGCAGGAAGGCCAATTCATCCAAATCACAGAATGCATGGGCTTGCATCCAACTAGAGTAGACACATTGAATCAGGGGGATTTACTTGTGTGTTGACTGTCCATGCAACGGTTGATCTAATGTAGGTTTGGACAAACTTTGGCCCTGCCTTCAGGTGTTTTGGAGTCCAACTCCCACCATTCCTCACAGCCTCAGGCCCCTTACTTTCCCCCCTCAGCCGCTTAAGCTGAAGGCAGGGCCAAAGTTTGCCCAAGCCTAGTCTAGGGACTTAAATTATAGATTTATAGAATTCTAGATTGGGAAGGGACTCCAAAGGTCATCCAGACCAGTGAGGCTGAAGCCACCTCGGACTTTTCCTTCCTTGAGGTGTTTCTTGGAAAGGGCACCATAACTGTTGCAACTCAGAGTAAGCTTCACCTTGCTTCCAAACACCACCACACAAGAGCTGTAGTTTTATTGTTTATTGAGGGAAAAATCCAAGTCAAAATAAAGAATAAGCATTGCAAAGTTCCAAAGATTTAGGTTAAATGCAGAATATAGTTCCAAAGATCTTCAGGTAAAAACAGGAGGCACAATCTTATAGGCAAAGTTCAAACCAGAGTCCAAGGTACAAGCAATAAAACAATTGCCCCATGAATCACCATGCAAGAAATCCCAAGCTTGCTGCTTTCATGAAGCTTTCAGGCTAATAAGCTACGTTGAACTGACACTTTCCCTTAGTTTGCAAGAAGCCTAAATACCTTTCTAACATGAAAACATTATGCTTTCACCAACATGAAAGCATTGCGATGACCTTGGCCCGAGCTGGCTTCCCGTCTGCCGGCCAGGCAAGAACTCCGCCTGACCTGCAAATCAAGACGAGCCTGCCGGGTCAGGTCACTATCAAGGCTTTCTGAACTTTCAGTATCAGCGTGGGAAGGAGGCAAAAGCCTCCCCACCTGTTCGCTATCTCCTTCGTTAAAATTCTTTTCTTATGAGAACTGCTGTGTTGTTGACTCTCCACTGTCTGTGGGAGCCTCAGAAAAAGACCTAGAAGCAGGCCCAGGGATCTGAGGCACAGAAAAAGAGCCAGGAATCTGAATCCCATCATCCTCATCATCAGGGAACATCTCAGCCACAACAATAACCTTCTCCAGAAAAGGCCTCAAAGGAAGGGAATGTATTTGAGCACAGCAGAGGAAGGGGAGCAGGTGCCTCTGTCTTGGGGCTTTCGTGTGCCCTTGGCCACATTGTGTTTGCACCACAAGGGCATCTTTGCAGGTGCTTCCTTGCAAATGGACTTTTGATGGCTTTCCCGGAGGAGGAGGAGGAGGAGGAGGAGGGTCACAGGTGGCGCACGGTGTGCCAAGGCAGGTGGAAGCGCCGTGCTTCTTTGCCAGCTGTCAGTGCAGAACGAAGCCCAAAGTCTCCTGAAAGCGATCCGCGCCAGGAACGATCCCACCGAGCGGCCGATTCCTTCCACGTCACCAACTTCTGCTTTGCTCTGGGCCTTGGACAGAAGGAGAAGGAGGCCTGCCAAATGCAAAGCCAGTGATACCCAACACATCGCTTCCAAAAAGGAAGGAAAGGTTCCTGCCTGCATTTAGCACTTTAGCAAGGAGAGGGTGGGGTGGGACATTCTGTCTGTAGTGGAGATACACTACAGTCTGTGTATATGTGTTTTGTGTGTGTGTATATTTGGGTATATGTGTATATATGTGTGTTTGCGTGTGTATGTGTGTGTGTATATAGTTTTGCACATACGTTGTAATGTATTTTTGGGGTTTTTTGGGGGGTTTCTAAGTCTCTTCAGCTGTGTTTTTCTGATGGTCACTTGTTGGCCTGAGAGGTATCTTGTGTCCAAATTTGGTGTCAATTTGTCCAGTGGTCTTTGAGTTATCTTAATCCCACAAACAAACATTACATGTATACACACACACACACACACACACATACACACACACTAGCTATCCCCTGCCATGCGTTGTTGTGGCCCAGTCTGTGTATATGTGTTTTGTGTGTGTATATGTGTATATATGTGTTTGCGTATATATATGTGGTTTTGTGCATGCATTGTAATGTATTTTTGGGGTTGTTTTTGGCTTCTTAAGTCTCTTCCGCTGTGTTTTTCAGTGTTTTTGTGAGTGATGGTCACTTGTTGGCCTGAGAGGTGTCTTGTGTCCAAATTTGGTGTCAATTCATCCAGTGGTTTTTGAGTTATGTTAATCCCACAAACGAACATTATATTTTTATTTATATAGACTAGCTGTCCCCTGCCACGCGTTGCTGTGGCCCAGTCATAGAATCATAGAATCATAGAATCAAAGAGTTGGAAGAGACCTCATGGGCCATCCAGTCCAACCCCATTCTGCCAAGAAGCAGGAATATTGCATTCAAATCACCCCTGACAGATGGCCATCCAGCCTCTGCTTAAAAGTCTGAGTATATGTGTTTTGTGTGTTTATATATGTGTATATGTGCATGTATATATTTGTTTATATGTGTGTTTGTGTATACATGTGGTTTTGCACATGTGTTGTAGTATTTTTTTGTTTGTTTTTTGGCTTCTCAAGTCTCTTCCACTGTGTTTTTCAGTGTTTTTATGAGTGATGGTCACTCATTGGCCAGAGAGGTGTCCAAATTTGGTGTCAATTCGTCCAGTGGTTTTTGAGTTGTATTAATCTTACAAATAAACATTACATTTTTATTTATATAGACTAGCTCTCCTCTGCCATGCGTTGCTTTGGCCAGTCTGTGTATATGTGTTTTGTGTGTGTATATATTTGTGCATATGTGTGTTTGCGTATATGTATGTGGTTTTGCCCATGCATTGTAATTTTCTTTTTTGTTTTTTGGCTTTTTAAGTATCTTCTGCTGTATTTTTCAGTCTTTTTTGAGTGATGGTCACTCGTTGGCCTGATAAGTGTCTTGTGCCCAAATTTGGTGTCAATTCGCCCAGTGGTTTTTGAGTTATGTTAATCCCACAAACAAACATGACATTGTATTGTCGAAGGTTTTCATGGCTGGAATCACTAGGTTCTTGTGGGTTTTTTCGGGCTATAGGGCCATGTTCTAGAGACGTTTCGCCTGCATCTATGACAAACATCCTCAGAGGTATTGAGGATGCTTGCCATAGATGCACTACCTGTGAGGATGCTTGCCATAGATGCAGGCGAAACGTCAGGAGGAATGCCTCTAGAACATGGCCCTAAAGCCCGAAAAAACCCACAAGAACTTAAACATGACATTTTTATTTATATAGATATATGCTAGCCGTCCCCTGCCACGCATTGCTGTGGCCCAGTCTGTGAATATGTATTTTTTGTATGTATATTTGTATGTGTGTGTGTATATATATTTGTGTATATGTGTATATATGTGTGTTTGTGTATATATATGTGGTTTTGCACATGTGTTGTATTTTTTTTTGTTTTTTGGCTTTTAAGTCACTTCTGCTGTGTTTTTCAGCATTTTTATGAGTGATGGTCACTTGTTGGCCTGAGAGGTGTCTTGTGTCCAAATTTGGTGTCAACTGATCCAGTGGTTTTTGAGTTCTGTCAATCCCACAAACGAACATGACATGTTTATTTATATAGATATATACTATGGCGTTCAGGTATTTTGCGTAACTTTAAGGGCTGTGGCCTCATCCCACAGACTTCTGGCATTTGCAGATTGCGGGAGTGCTTGCCATTGTTTGTATCCTTGAGTGGTTCATCCCAGGACTTCATCCCATGAGAGGAGGAGAGCGGGGGGAATTGTAGTTTAGCCATGGCACTTCGAGATGCCCTGTTGTGAAAGTAAATTAATGTTTATCCAACTCCCATCACACATTTTTCACCATTCCACTTTCTTAAGAAATTCTCCATTTGCAATACCATCATGCAGGAGAGGTGCCTGTTCCTCCCATTTGGCCATCTCTGCTTTGACCACGTGACATCATTGTATTGATGACGTCATATTGATTGCAAGTTGACAAGTGTGATGATTCCCATCCCGCTTGACATTTGCCAATTTTGCTTGACTTTTGAGTTTGACCAACTTGGACTGAGGTCTGGAATCCCTCTGAGGAACACCTGGAGAAAAGTAGGCTGAGAGAAGGGAGCACAAGGGCCAGGTTTCCATCCTGGTGGAAAGGATGTCCCATTGAGGAGACGGGAGCAAACTTGGCTAAGACCCAATGGAGCAAGGAATTCCCTAGGGTGGGGAAAAGAGATTCCACCTAAACATGAGGAAGAACTGAGTTGTTTGCAGTGGAATCTACTTCTTCCAGGAACTCCAGTGGAGTTTCTTTCCTCCCTGGAGGGGTTTAAGCAGAGGCTGGATGGGCTTCTGTTAGGAGGACTTGGATTGTATATTCCCACCTGGCAGAAAGGGGGATGAACTGGATGACCTTTGGGGGTACCATCCAATTCTAGTGAAATCAGCTGGAGTTTCTTTCTCTGGTTATTTCTGAGCAGAGAGAGGCTGACTGGTTATGTGTCATGAGGGCTTTCATTGTGTTCTCCTTGCCTGGCAGAAGGGGCTTAGGCTGGATGGACTTGGGGTCCCTTCTGACCTCATATAACACATAGAGGGAACTGGGTTGGGAGGGAGGATGGTTGCAGTCTGGCAGACGTGTCCTTTCTGTGTGCTTGTCCCTCTTGACCTGCTCTTGCTCCACAGACGGACCCTTGGAAGACCTACATCCCCAAAGGCACCACCGTCACCCGCAAGAAGACGTTTCGGGAGATTGCCAAGTAGGTAGAGGCAATGGTTTTCTTGTGGTACGTCTACTTTGGCCCTCCGGGTGTTTTGGATTTCAACTGAAGCAATTCCTAAAGAATTGTGGGAGTTGAAGTCCAAAACACCTGGAGGGCCGAAGTTGGACCATACCTGGTGTACACTGTAGAATCAATGATCAGGTTGCTGATGATGGAGGCTGGGGAGCTTGGGTCCCCTGCCAAGTAGGTAGAGGCAATGGTTTTCTTGTGGAACATCTACACCAGGCATGGGCAAACTTTGGCCCTACAGGTGTTTTGGACTTCAACGGAAGCAATTCCTAAGAAGTCCAAAACACCTGGAGGGCCGAAGTTGGACCATACCTGGTGTACACTGTAGAATCAATGACCAGGTTGCTGATGATGGAGGTTGTGGAGCTTGGGTCTCCTGCCAAGTAGGTAGAGGCAATGGTTTTCTTGTGGAACACCTGCACCGGGCATGGGCAAACTTTGGCCCTCCAGGTGTTTTGGACTCCAACTGAAGCAATACCTAAGAAGTCCAAAACACCTGGAGGACCAAAGTTGGACCATACCTGGTGTACACTGTAGAATCAATGACCAGGTTGCTGATGATGGAGGCTGTGGAGCTTGGGTCTCCTTCCCCTTGGGAGGAGGGTCTTCTGGGGCTCAGATTCAGGCCTGGCTCCCTCCACAGTGCGGTCAAGATTTCGGCCAAGCTGATGGGCCACGTCATGGCGCGCCGTGTCAAGGCCACGATACTGTATGCCTCAGAAACCGGGAAGAGCAGGGCCTACGCCTTGAACCTGCAGCAGCTCTTCAAGAGCACCTTTGCTCCACAGGTGAGCCCTTGTTTCTTTTGGACGGGGGGCAGTGTGGTCCCTGGCATTTGTTGAACATGCACATTTTCCCCTGTAAGAGGAAGATGTGCACATGCCCTTTCCCCATGGCTTTTGGGGACTGAAGGGTCCATGGTGATGTTAAGTGGCATCCAGAAATGGGCATCCGTTGGCCTAAGACCCCTCCCACATACGTTCATTGTGCTTCCTTCCGCAGGTGCTGTGCATGGATGAATACGACGTGGTCTCCCTGGAGCATGAGACCCTGGTCCTGGTGGTGACTAGCACCTTCGGCAATGGAGACCCCCCTGAGAATGGAGAGGTATTGCTGCAAACGGGATGAGTTGGGACCCCCAGAACACTGCTGCAGTGTGGGATTCATTAAGTCAGGGTCCTGAGATTTGTGGTTTGTAGAATCCCAAGTGTGCTGCTTTCCAGGCTAATAAGCTATGTTGAACTGACGCTTTCCCTTGGTTTGCAAGGGAAAAGAAGCCTAAATACCTTTCTAACATGAAAACATTGCATGAAATCATTGCGATGACCTTTCACCGAGCTGGCTTCTTGTCTGCCAGCCAAGCGAGAACTCCTCCTGACCCACAAATCAAGACTAGCCCTCTTTGGGAAGACACTGTCTTAAATAGCTTAAACAGGAAACAAACACAACTCTTGACTTCAAAGAGCAGGGAACAATCACTCACTTAAATGCTGGCCTGAAACTGTCAATCAACTGCTGGCCGAAATACCTAGCTTTGCCTTCTAAACAATACTCACACAGCTTTCTGGTGCTTCCAGCAGAGCAGCTAGCCTTTAACTACAAGAGTCAAGCACAAACTCAGCTTTCTAGTGCAATCAAAGACAAGGCTTCCTTGAAGCAAGGGAGCAAAGGTGGCTTCTTGCTTCCCCAACTTCTGTGGGAACCCAAGGGCCAGATATCCTCCTCCTCTTCCTCCTCTTCTTCTTCTTCCTCTTCCTCCTCCTCCTCCTGCCTTTTTCTGTAGAAGTGATTACAAAGAGCTGAATCCTCTTGTCTCTCCTTTTCCCCTTTCATTCTCAGGGTTTTGCCAAGGCCTTGATGGAGATGTCCTGCCCTTACTTGGGAGCCGTTGAGCCAGAGCTGCAGAAGTAAGCCGCACAGCATTTGAGATCTCTTCCTCCTTTTCTCCTCCTTGGCTTTATTTCTTTGGGTCCAGTTGAAGCGAGTCCCAATAAGGCACCTTGTAATCCTTCCTTTGCAAAGGCTCCAATTCTGGTGCGACCAAGTCCTTAGGTGGAGAACATGCCTCCAGGTCCTTCCTTCCTTCTTGGCTTGTCCTTCGTGTGGCCTTCAAGGCAATGGAGGCTCATCCCTTACCTTCATGTCCAGGTGCATTACGGTCATTCCCTCTATTGTTCATTACAGAGCGCCATACGGGGTCTGGTAGGAATCACAAAATCCTAGGGTTGGAAGAGACCCCAGGGATCATCTAGTCCAGGCATCCTCAAACTGTGGCCCTCCAGTTGTTTGGGCCTTCAACTCCCAGAATTCCTGACAACTGAACAAGCTCATTAGGGCTTCTGGGAGTTGGAGGCCCAAAGAGCTGGAGGGCTGCAGTTTGAGGATGCCTGATCTAGTCCAACCCACTTTTTCCTGCCGAGCAGGAAAAGCACAATCAAAGCACCCCTGACAGCTGGCCATCCAGTTGGCCCATCATCAGCCAAAATGAATGATGCAACCCTTTGTCACGAGTATCACATGGTCATGATTCAGCCTTTTCAGCATGTCCCTTAGGTGATGCATCACTACCCACTAATTATTCCGCAGGTATGTGACCACATGTCCATTAGAACTGTATTTTACACAATAGAATCACTGCCAATGCATTCCTATCTAACAATGCATTTTCTATCTAACAAAACAGTCCACAAGTTGAGCATGAGCCAGGAGTGTGATACAGCACCTAAAAAAGCCAATGTGATTCTGGGCTGCATCAATAGAAGTCTATGCCTAGATTGAGGGAAGACCTAGTCCCACTCTCTTCAGCTTTGGTCAGTCCTCACCTGGAATCATAGAATCCTAGAATCCTAGAGTTGGAAGAGACCTCATGGGCCATCCAGTCCAACCCCATTCTGCCAAGAAGCAGGAATATTGCATTCAAATCACCCCTGACAGATGGCCATCCAGCCTCTGTTTCAAAGCTTCCAAAGAAGGAGCCTCCACCACACTCTGGGGCAGAGAGTTCCACTGCTGAACGGCTCTCACAGTCAGGAAGTTCTTCCTCATGTTCAGATGGAATCTCCTCTCTTGTAGTTTGAAGCCATTGTTCCATTGCGTCCTAGTCTCCAGGGAAGCAGAAAGGAAGCTTGCTCCCTCCTCCCTGTGGCTTCCTCTCACATATTTATACATGGCTATCATATCTCTTCTGGATTAAGAAGCTTGTGTCTATTTCTGGGCAAATCAATTCAATATGGAGATGGACAAGATGGAAGGTGTCTGGAGAAGGATGACCAAATGGTCCACGGTCTGGAAGCCATGAATCCCTCTGAGGGGATGAGGGAGCTGCAGGAGATGTTGAGCTTGGAGAAGAGAAGGTTAAGGGAGGACACAAGAGCCATGTTTATACGTTTAGAAGGCTGTCCCATTGAAAAGGAATGAAATCCAAATTGCAGGAAAAGAGATTCCACTTGAATATTGAAGAACCTCCTGACAGTCGGAGCTGTTCAGCAGTGTAATACGTATGATAGATCTCCATCCCTGTGTTGCAACTCAGAGTAAACTTCACCTTACTTCCAAACACCACCACACAAGAGCTGTAGTCTTATAGTTTATTGAGGAAAAAATCCAAGTCACTATAAAGAATAAGCATTGCAAAGTTCCAAAGATTAAGGTTAAATGCAGAATATAGTTCCAAAGATCTTCAGGTAAAAGCAAGAGACATAATCCTATTGGCAAAGTTCAAACCAGAGTTCCAGGTACAAGCAAGGAAACAATTGCCCCATGAATCACCATGCAAGAAATCCCAAGCGTGCTGCTTTCCAGGCTAATAAGCTACATTGAACTGACGCTTTCCCTTGGTTTGCAAGAAGCCTAAATACCCTTCTAACATGAAAACATTACATGAAATCATTGCGATGACCTTTCACCGAGCTGGCTTCTTGTCTGCTGGCCAAGCGAGAACTCCACCTGACCCGCAAATCAAGACAAGGTTGCCGGGTCAGGTCACTATCACGGCTTTCAGTACTTTCAGTATCAGCGTGGGAAGGAGGCAAATGCCTCCCCACCTGTTCGCTATCTCCTTCATTAAAATTCTTTTCTCCTGAGAAGCGTTGTGTTGATGTTGACTCTGCACTGTCTGACCCTGCACTATCTGTGGGAGCCGCAGGCCCAGAGATCTGAGGCACAGAAAAAGAGCCAGGAATCGGAATCCCATCATCCTCATCATCAGGGAACATCTCAGCCACAACACCCTGGAGGTCTTTGAACAGAGGCCATCTGGCCATCTGTAGGGAGGGCTTTTTGTGCCTTCCTCCATGGTGGAATGGGATTGGACTGGATGGCCTTTGAGGATCCCTTCCAGCTCTGGCATTCTTTGATTCCAAGCCCTCTGTGGACTCCTGCGCTCACCCCATTCCCACCCATGGACCTCCCACCCACCTTTGGCCTCATCCTTCTTTTCTCTTCCAGGAGCTACAAGATGCGCTTCAACAGCATCTCCCAGTCCGACTCCTTCGTGGCGTCTTGGAGGAAGAAGCGCCGGGAGTCCAGCAACACCGACAGCGCAGGGGCCCTGGGGACACTCAGGTAGGGCCCCGGGGAGCAGAAAATGGGCATGATTATGGGGCAGGGGGCAGGCGGAAGAGAGGGGCAGTTCTTTCCTGGAGAGTGGCAGCAGCCAAAGTAGCAGCCAAGTATTTATACAAAGGGGGGGAGGGTGGCCTTCATGTGACCCCAGTGGAGGGTCACTGGCCCCCCTTCCTGACAAGAAGGTGTCTGTGCTGTCACGTGCTGGGCCTGTGAAAGAGTCTGTAGACAAGACGTGTTTTCTGAATGCCCAACGGGACGCCGGGGGTGCCTCGGCTGAGAGGCCTTTCGGATTTCCCCACGCAAAGTTATTTTAAAGACTTAGAAAGTTCAACAAAGTTTTTATTGTTGCTTAAATCTTTAATAAATCAAACAAATACTTCAAGGCTTTGAATCAACTGGAGGCTTGCTTAAATCTTGTCCACAAGGGACAGGCAACTTTCTTCATAAACTGTTTCTTCCTCCTTGGGCAATCTATATTTAGGCTTTGCTGGCGTGGGACCCCTACACCCGGTTCCAATTTGCGTTATGGCTGCCGCGAGAGGTCCTTACCAAACAGAGTCCTTTAGTAGATTTCCAAGAGGAAAGAAGGCTTTCAATTCCCAGCGAAGGCTGGCTGTAGAGTTGTGGAACTAAATTCCCCAACTACCCTATGCTGTAGTTCTCTGTAGAGCTGTGGGACTGGATCCCCCCAGCAAAGCTGTAAAAGACGAAGCTTTCTAGAGGTGGAACTGATTCACGACCTGTACGAAAGGCTTCTCTGTGTGAACTGAACTAGAGGTCCCCTTTTCCCCTCCTTAACCCAGAAAAAGGGGCAGAACTAAAGAAGATAATGATAATCGATGGGTCATTGGCCCTATGATTGCAAACCAAGGGAAGCCGCCTTCTTGCAAAATGCATGGAACTTTGGAATACATGCAAACATTCAATAGAAAGGAAAAGAAGTTGGAGCTCCTGGTACAGCCATACCAGCACAGTGTCCATAGGGGAAACTGAGTCAGGTGTGGCCTCAGGGAGAAGGCGGATGAAGGGATCGTATAATATAATATAATAATAATAATAATAATAATAATAATAATAATAATAATATATTATTATTATTATTATTATTATTATTATCTGCATTTGTATCCCACTTTTCTCACTCCTAGCAGACTCAAAGTGGATTTACAACATAATAATGGCAAGTGCCTCTATATAAATATCACATATCTAAATCAATAACATATAACTGTAGATAAAAACCATTAAAACTATAAAAACATCAAACATAGACATAAGCATGAAACATATTATTGCTGCAATTAACAATGTAGGCCCCTGATATAATAATCATATAATAAAAATAATCATTTGTTGTTGTTGATTCATTCTGTGGCTTCTGACTCTTTGTGATATTATATTATTATAATATTATGATATTATATAATCATAATATAATCTAATCGTATAATAATCACTATATAATATCATCATCATATAATAATAGCAATAATGTTATAATAATATAATAATATACTATATAACCATAATTTATTATGACATAATAATCATAGAATGATATAAGATTAATGGAACAACAACAACAACAACAACAACAACAACAACAGCAACAACAATGTTACCCCCCAGGTAACATCAGGGTGAGACTTCCCGCATTAATCACATGCCACCTTTTATAGGTCTTTGTGGTCTGCTTCCCACTCCTTGGTCCTCTTGGCCTTTCCTTCCCACCTGACCCCCAGGCCAAGCCTTCCCCTGTTCTAATGAGTTGAGTGGGAGTGGTAAGGACCCCCAGAGCCCCCCTAGCTGCCCCAGTCCCTGCTCTCCTCGGCCTCCAAGGAGGAGAAGATGCTGAGAAGGAGGCCAAGGAGAGCAAGAAATGGGGCGCAGCCTCCCTCCCCGCAGGTTGTTCCTGCTGAAACGGCACAAAGGGGTGCCCTAGATTGCGAAAGGTGAGGGAGGGAGGAGGCAGGGGAGCTGCCTTTGGAAGTGGAGCATGGAAATCAATACAGTCTCGACAGGTTTTAGCTGCCAGGGTCCAGGAGGTCCCAGTCGGTTTGAATCCATTGCGGACAATGTGGCATTTTGTGGGCTTGGTGTGCTTGGACTGCTCACCGAGGGAGAAGTGGAGGATGAGCCTGAAGAAGAGGGGACGGGCGGGAGACCCACCTTGGCACATTGGGATAGTGAGACGAGAGGGGCATAAAATACATTGGCAGAAGGAAGAGCAGGATTATGTTAAACAATTAGGTCACCTTAGTATACTTCCTGTTAGATAGGTAGGTAGGTAGGTAGGTAGGTAGATAGATAGATAGATAGATAGATAGATAGATAGATAGATAGATAGATAGATAGATAGATAGATAGACAGACAGACTAGCCATCCCACGCATTGCTGTGGCCAACCTTCCCTCTTTCTCTCCTTCTTTCCCTCCTTCCTTCCTTCCCTCTTTCCTTCCTTCCTTCCTTCCTTCCTTCCTTCCTTCCTTCCTTCCTTCCTTCCTTCCTTCCTGTCTTTCCTTCTCTTCTTCCTTCCTTCCTTCCTTCCTTCCTTCCTTCCTTCCTTCCTTCCTTCCTTCCTTCCTTCCTTCTCTATCTCTTTCCTTCCCCTTTTTCTTTCTCTTCTTCTGTCTCTCTTTTCTTCCTTCTCTCTTTCCTTCTTTCCTTCTCTCCCCTTTCCTTCACTCCCTCTTTCCTTCCTTATTTCCATTTTCTTTCTTCTCTCCTTCCTTCACTCCCTCTTCCTTCACTCTTTCCTTCCTTCCTTCCTTCCTTCCTTCCTTCCTTCCTTCCTTTCTTCTTCCTCTTTCCTTCTCTTCTTTCTTTCTTCCTTCCTTCCTTCCTTTCCTTCCTTCCTTCCTTCCTTCCTTCCTTCCTTCTCTATCTCTTTCCTTCCTTCCCCCTTTTTCTTTCTCTTCTTCTGTCTCTCTTTTCTTCCTTCTCTTTTTCCTTCTTTCCTTCTCTCCCCTTTCCTTCTCTCCCTCTTTCCTTCCTTATTTCCATTTTTTCTTTGCTTCTCTCCTTCCTTCACTCCCTCTTCACTCTTTCCTTCTTTCCTTCTCTCCCCTTCCTTCACTCCCTCTTTCCTTCCTTCTTTCCCTTTTTTCTTTCCTCCGTTATCTAACTTTCCTTCCTTTCTGCCTCCTTTTTCTTTCCCTCCCTCTTTCTCTCCTTTTCTTCCTTCTCTACCTCTTTCCTTCCTTCCTTCTCTCTTTGCTTCCATGCTTCCTTCTCCCTTTCCTTCTTTCCCTCCCTCCCTCTTTCTTTTCTTTCTTTTCTCCCCTTCACTCCCCCTTTCTTCCCTTTTTTCTGTATTGTCATTTAGCTTTTCATCATTTAGCTTTTTGGGGGCTTTTTAAGTCCCTTCTGCTGTGTTTTTCAGTGTTTTATGAGTGAAGGACATACATTGGGTTGTTAGGTGTCTTGTGTCCAAATTTGGTGTCAATTCCCCCAGTGGTTTTTGAGTTCTGTTAATCCCACAAACGAACATTACATTTTTATTTATATAGATATTTTATTCTATAGATAGATAGATAGATAGATAGATAGATAGCTTACATTATTTATATTCCACCTCTCTCACCCTCAAGGGGACTTGGAGCAGATGACAGAACACAGATGCAGCAAACATTCAGTGCTGTTATACACTGACAAGACAGATAGCTGTATAGATAGATAGATAGATAGATAGATAGATAGGGATATAGATAGAGGCTTTCCATCTTCGGCATCTTGGATGCTTGTGCTTGGACCGGCCACAGGAGGGTGCTACCACTCCACTTTCCCTGCCAAAGAGCTTTGTCCATAAACTTCCTCCTTGATCGAATTGCAGGCATTTTTCTGGCATTTCCTTATGGGTGCCTTAAATACTTCCCTGCTTTAAGCAGTACCTATTTATCTACTCACATTGCTGTTTTCGAAACCGCTAGGTAGGCAGAAGCTGAGCTAAAGGCCAGGAGCTCACCCTGACTTCGAACTGTCAACCTTTTTGTTGGCAAGTCAACGCCATCCCTCCTCACCTTTAGAAAGAAGGTCAAAACGCGGTTGTGAGACCAGGCCTTCAGGCAATCAGGTTAAAAGACAATTGACAATGTTTGACTATGGCTTGGAAGTGGATTTGGATAAGTTAATGCAGAGTAATCATTAGTATATGGCTAGATAAATAGCCACCAGACGGACAATTTACTAATTTAGTACCAAAACATCACAGTGTATTAAAACAGCCGTGGATCCAGGCGGGAAGCAGACTGCGTTGGATAATACAGAACGTTGGATTAGCAAAGGTTGGCTAAGCGAGACTTTACTATATTAGCTTTGATGATCATATATGCATGCATGTGTTATCTCCTGACCTGTCTTCCCTGGCAGGTTCTCGGTCTTTGGCCTGGGCTCCAGGGCCTACCCGCACTTCTGCGCCTTTGCACACGCCGTGGACACGCGCCTGGAGGAGCTGGGAGGGGAGCGCATCCTGCCCATGGGCGAAGGGGACGAGCTCTGCGGGCAGGAGGAGGCCTTCCGCACCTGGGCCAGGAGCGTCTTCAAGGTGGGTGCCTTCACGGAGGGGGTTCAAGGGTATGGGGTGCACTTTGGTGCCAGCTGGGCCAATGCGAGTGCCCCAAAGGCCAGGCCAGGCCAGGTGGGTGTCTGTTTGGCTGCCCCTTTGCAAGCCCTTCTTCTTTGCGGCAGTGTCTTCCTGGGAGGTCTTTTTACCTGAACGCTCCGTCTGTAGTCAAGCAGAAGCTAGCTCTGCTTCTCTTCTTGAGCCTGGGGTTTACCCGATTTGAGCAGCAGACCCACAAACAGCAGAAGGATCTTTCCAAATCAGGAAGGCTTTTATTGATCTCTTGCAATTCAGCGATCCGAAACACAATCTCTCCTTCTTCCTACTCACAACAGATTCTTCAACATCTCTCTCTCTCTAGCAAGACAGCAACCACACCAGCCCACTCAGGACTACCTTTGCTTTCCCAACACCCAATCAACCATTGCACGGCTTCATCCTTGTTGCCAGGGATTCCTCCAGAGCTGCACCAGACAATGAGTTGCCTCCGATACTTGTCTAGTCATCCTGGCTTGAGAATTAGTCATGAATATGCTTGACTCATCTACAAATGCAAACACTTCCCACCCTGGGTGGGTGTTGGTGGCTGCAGCAGGGAAGGGGAAGCCTCCACACTTATTCTTTCCCCTGGCTAATAGGAGCCCCTCCTCTCCATGTCATATTCATGCTTCCTCTTCATCCTGGAAAGAAGTGACGAGTGGAGTGCCATCAGAAGGGTTCTGTCCTGGGCCCAGTCCTGCTCAGGATCTTGATTAATGACTTAAACGAAGGGCTAGAAGGCAGGATCATCAAGTTTGCAGACGGGACCAAATTGGGAGGGAGAGCCAACAGTCCAGAGGACAGGAGCAGAACTCAAAATGATCTTGACAGATTAGAGAGATGATGGGCCAAAACTAACCAAATGAAGTTCAACAGGGACAAATGCAAGATACTCCACTTTGGCAGGAAAAATGAAATGCAAAGAGACAGAATGGGGGACGATGATGCCTGGCTCGAGAGCAGTACGTGTGAAAGAGATCTTGGGGTCCTCGTGGACAAGTTAAACATGAGCCAGGAATGTGATGTGGCGGCAAAAAAAGCCAATGGGATGTTGGCCTGCAGCAAGAGGAGTCTATAGTGCCTAGATCTAGGGAAGTCATGCTCCCCATGCTCTATTCTGCTTTGGTTAGACCACTTTACCTGGAATACTGTGTCCAGTTCTGGGCACCACAATTCAAGAGAGATATTGACAAGCTGGAATGTGTCCAGAGGAGGGCGACTCAAATGATCAAGGGTCTGGAGAACAAGCCCTATGAGGAGCGGCTTAAGGAGCTGGGCATGTTTAGCCTGAAGACGAGAAGACTGAGAGGAGACATGATAGCCGTGTATAAATATGTGAGAGGAAGCCACAGGGAGGAGGAGGGAGCTTCCTTGGAGACTTCCGCTTCCTTGGAGACTAGGGCGCAATGGAACAATGGCTTCAAACTACAAGAGAGGAGATTCCATCTGAACATGAGGAAGAACTTCCTGACTGTGAGAGCTGTTCAGCAGTGGAACTCTCTGCCCCAGAGTGTGGTGGAGGCTCCTTCTTTGGAAGCTTTGAAACAGAGGCTGGGTGGCCATCTCTCAGGGGTGATTTGAATGCAATATTCCTGCTTCTTGGCAGAATGGGGTTGGACTGGATGATGGCCCAGGAGGTCTCTTCCAACTCTAGGATTCAATGATTCTATGTCTTCTTCTTTCAGTCCCACAAGCTCCAGGTAACTCATGGCATTGAGCCCACTTTTCTTTTAGGATGCCCACAGTCCAGCAGCGGAAGCCCTTGTTCTCTTAAAGGCATTTGTTCCGGCTGCCTTCCTTCCTCCCATCCAGGGCTCTGGTGGGACATGGGGATGGGGTCTCAGGTGGTCTTCATCCAAGCTGGCAAGGGGCTGCGCCATGTCTCTCAACGGCATGCACTCAGGGTGGGGCCCATCCCCGGCACTCCGTTCCGAGCTTTGCTAGCACTCAGTTACAAACCCCAGAATTCTGCAGGAGGCAGCAACTGGATTCAAAGCGGATCCGTTCTCTAGTGCAGTGCTTCTCAATCTTCCTAATGCCACGACCCCTTAATACAGTTCGTCATGTTGTGGTGACCCCCAACCATAACATTATTTTTTTTGTTACTTTGTTAGAGACCCTAAATTGGGTCTTCTTAGGTCCACATCACGGGAACATGAAAGGAAGGAGACAGTCCCAAAAAAAGATCAAAAAACAAGGTTTATTTTAGTTTCTTCATGAAGAAGACGGACAGCCTGGCAGCATATGCAGATGCTACCCTTCAAGTGACTGCCGCGTCCCCTTGGCTTTTTACTTCCAATATATAACTTCAAGTAAACAAGAACATTTTTTGTCATGAAAAGTACTCTCTTTCCAGCCCCCTCCCTTGACCTTTTGATGGAAAGTACCTTCTTGTACCTGCAGACTCTGCACTTAACCACAACCTTTGAACTTAACCATAACACAACTTCTGACCTCTACATGTCACATCTTGTTTCTTAAAAACATTTTCTTCCATGTTGCTCTTTTTCTACAGAGAAAGGGTATATTTCTCTTTTGCTGTTAATTTCATTCAAAACCCCTTGCTTAGCATTTGCAAATTTCACTCAAAGACCCTTTCAACTTCACAACTATCATTTTGCTCCTGTTATGAATCGTCATGTAAATATCTGATATGCAGGATCTATTTTCATTCACTGGACCCGATATGCACAAATTTGAATACTGGTGTTTTGATTTTGTCATTTGGGAGTTGTAGTTGCTGGGATTTACAGTCCAGCTACAATCAAAACACATTCTGAACCTCACCAGCAATGGAACTGAACCAAACTTGGCACACAGAACTCCCATGACCAAGAGGAAATACAGGAAGGGTTTGGTGGGCATTGACCTTGAGTTTGGGAGTTGTAGTTCACCTACATCCAGAGAGCACCGTGGACTCAAACAATGATGGATCGGGACCAAACTTGGCATGAATACCACATGTGAACACTGGTGGTGTTTAGGGAAAATAGACCTTGACATTTGGGAGTTGTAGTTGTTGGGATTTATGGTTCACCTATGATCAAAGAGCATTCAGAACCCCACCAATGATAGAATTGGGCCAAACTTCCCACACAGAACCCCCCATGACCAACAGAAAAGGCTGTGTTTTCTGATGGTCTTTGGTGACCCCTCTGACAACCCCTCACTACCCTCCCAGGGGTCCTGACCCCAAGGCTGAGAAACACTGCTCTAGTGTGATGAGGCCCTTGACTATTGGGACTCCAATTCCCAGGAGCACTGGCTGACATGCCATTGTCCTGTGGTGTCCCGTGGAGCTCAGTATTGTCCCCCATAATGTTGAACATCTACATGAAGCCATTGGGTGAGATTATCTGGAGTTTTGGAGTCCAATGCCATCTGTATGCAGATGATGTCCAACTCTATCACTCCTTTCCACCCAACTCTAAGGAGGAGGCTGTCCAGATCGTGAACCGGTGCCTGGCCGCTGTGACGGTCTGGATGAGGGCAAACAAACTGTAGTTGAATCCTGACAAGACAGAGATCCTCCTGGCCAATCGCAAGGCCGAACAGGGCATAGGGTTACAGCCTGTGCTGGACGGGGTTACACTCCCCCTGAAGGCGCAGGTTCGCAGCTTGGGAGTTCTCCTGGACTAATCACTGAACCTGGCATCCCAGGTGGCAGCAGTGGCCAGGGGAGCGTTTGCACAATTAAAAATGTTAGCGTGTAGGAGAGTATCACAGAAGCTCAGAATAATGGACTCTGGAGTCTCCAGTAAAAGCAGGTTTTCAGCTTTACTTAAGCAGCTCAAAATAGACAACATACACCATCAGCGGACAGACATGAAGAACACAAACCGAAAGAGATAGGAACTAATGCAACCTGCAGCTGGAAGGAAGTTTATCTCTGGCACTCCCTAATCTTGCACAGAGCAAGAACTCAGGGCCACATTCTCACAGCTTGTTTTATTTTGCTGTTTAACCCTCCTGTGTCAAAATACATCCTGGCAATACAATTCTATTACAATCACAATCCTATCACATAAAATTACATTTAAACACACATCATACATGAATTACACACTGACATAAAACTTGTGCACCAGCTGTGCCCATACCTTGGGAAGTCAGACTTGGCCATGGTGGTCCATGCTCTTGTTACATCCCAAATGGACTACTGCAATGCGCTCTACATGGGGTTGCCTTTGAAGACTGCTCAGAAGCTCCAAATAGTCCAACGAGAGGCAGCCAGGTTAATAACTGGGGTGGCATACAGGGAGCATGCAACTTCCATGTTACACCAGCTCCACTGACTGCCTGTTTGCTACCAGGTATAATTCAAAGTGCTGGCTTTGGACTAGAAAGCCCTAAACGGTCCCAGCGCAGTTTACCTGTCAGAACGCATCTCCCTTTCTGAACCATCACGAAAACTAAGATCTGGGGAGGCCCTGCTCTGTCCTGCCACCATCACAGACGCATTTGGTGGGGACGAGAGACAGGGCCTTCTCAGTGATTGCCCCCCCCCCCCCCCCCGGTTATGGAATTCCCTTCCTCCTGTCCTTCAGAAGGATGGGGAAGACGTGGCTGTGGGACCAAGCCTTTGGGGCAGTGCAAGGAGGCAAAATGGATTCCTGAGATGGTTTTTAAGCAACTTTTAATCTGAATATAAGTGATTTTAATGTTTGTATATATTTATGGTTTCATATCCCGGCAGTGAATGTTTGCCGTATATGTGTTGAGTCCCCCAGGGTGAGAAGGGTGCAATACACATGTTTAAAATAAATAAATAATGCTCAAGTGCCAGGAACTCTGGGAATTGAGGTCTAAACATCTGGAGGAGCAGCTGCGCCCACAGAGCAGGCCCCTGGCGACATCTGGTGGACAGATGGGGAAGGGCATGCGGGCCTCCCTTGGGATGCTTTATATGTCTGTGGAATGACCAGGGTGGGACAAAGGACTCTTGTCTGCTGGAGCTAGGTGTGAATGTTTCAACTGACCATCTGGGGGACAGATGGGGAAGGGCATGCGGGCCTCCCTTGGGATGCTTTATATGTCTGTGGAATGACCAGGGTGGGACAAAGGACTCTTGTCTGCTGGAGCTAGGTGTGAATGTTTCAACTGACCATCTGGTGGACAGATGGGGAAGGGCATGCGGGCCTCCCTTGGGATGCTTTATATGTCTGTGGAATGACCAGGGTGGGACAAAGGACTCTTGTCTGCTGGAGCTAGGTGTGAATGTTTCAACTGACCATCTGGTGGACAGATGGGGAAGGGCATGCGGGCCTCCCTTGGGATGCTTTATATGTCTGTGGAATGACCAGGGTGGGACAAAGGACTCTTGTCTGCTGGAGCTAGGTGTGAATGTTTCAACTGACCATCTGGTGGACAGATGGGGAAGGGCATGCGGGCCTCTCTTGGGATGCTTTGCTGGCCCAGATGGGAGGCTGCCATTTGGGCCACTGACCTCCCTGCCTGACCCTTTGGCCTCCAAGAGTCCAGCACTTGCCCTTCTGACCATGAGGAGGATGTCCCACTGCCTGGCCCCCATTCTGACCCTTTGCTCCTCCTTTCTTTCCTTCCTTCCTTCCTTCCTTCTTTCCTCAGGCGGCCTGTGACACCTTCTGCGTGGAGTCTCTGCCCGAGGCGGCGGCCACCGAGGTCTTCAGCACCCGCTGCAGCTGGAAGCGCCACAAGCACCGCCTCTCGGCCCACCACAGCCCCCTGGACCTGCTGGCAGGTAGGGACTCGGCCGAGGGAGGGGGTCCGGGCACAAGGAGGCATGCCCTCTGTCCAGGCAGTGGCTCCCTCCCATCCATTCTGGTGGTCAACCCTGTGGCTGTGGGGTCAACCCCTGACCTGGCCAGGTCTGCAAGGGAGAGGAGGGTCAGGGCTTCACGGAGGGCCGTGGGGTCATCCAGGACCGTAGAACCCTAAAGTTCAAGGAGACCCCAAGGGTCATCCAGCACAACCCCATTTGGCCATGCAGCAACACACAACCTTGATGGCAGAGTAAGTTAAACCGCTGAGCTGCAGAACTTGCTGATCGAAAGGTTGGCGGTTCATATCTGGAGAGTGGGGTGAGCTTCCGCTGTTAGCCCCAGCTCCTGCCATCCAGCACAACCCCATTTGGCCATGCAGCAACACACAACCCCGGTGGCGCAGCAGGTTAAACTGCTAAGCTTGCTGATCGAAAGGTTGGCGGTTCAAATCTGGGGAGCAGGGTGAGCTCCCACTGTTAGCCCCAGCTCCTGCCAACCTAGCAGTACACAACCTTGGTGGCGCAGCGGGTTAAACCGTTGAGCTGCAGAACTTGCTGATCGAAAGGTTGGTGGTTCGAATCTGGAGAGTGGGGTGAGCTCCCACTGTTAGCCCCAGCTCCTGCCAGCCTAGCAGTACACAACCTTGGTGGCAGAGCAGGTTAAACTGTTGAGCTTCAGAACTTGCTGATCCGAAAGGTTGGCAGTTCAAATCTGGAGAGTGGGGTGAGCTCCCACTGTTAGCCCCAGCTCCTGCCAACCTAGCAGTACACAACCCTGGTGGCAGGGCAGGTTAAACCGCTGAGCTGCAGAACTTGTTGATCGAAAGGTTGGTGGTTCGAATCTGGAGACTGGGGTGAGCTCCCAGTGTTAGCCCCAGCTCCTGCCAACCTAGCAGTACACAACCCTGGTGGCAGAGCAGGTTAAACCGCTGAGCTGCAGAACTTGCTGATCGAAAGGTTGGTGGTTCAAATCTGGGGAGCAGGGTGAGCTCCCACTGTTAGCCCCAGCTCCTGCCAACCTAGCAGTACACAACCTTGGTGGCAGAGCAGGTTAAACTGCTGAGCTGCAGAACTTGCTGATTGAAAGGTTGGTGGTTCGAATCCAGGGAGTGGGATAAGCTTCTGATGTTAGCCCCAGCTTCTACCAGTTCAAAAACATGCAAATGTGAGTAGATCAACAGATACAGCTTCTGTGGGAAGGTAATGGTACTCCATGCAGTCATGCCAGTGGCCACCATGACCTTGGTGGTGTCTGTTGGACAACACTGGCTCTCTGGCTTAGAAATTGAGATGACCACTAGTCCAACAGGGAGTGGGATAAGCTCCTGTTGTTAGCCCCAGCTTCTAGTAGTTCAAAAACATGCAAATGTGAGTAGATCAATAGGTACCGTTTCTGTGGGAAGGTAACGGTGCTCCATGCAGTCATGCCAATGGCCACCATGACCTTGGTGGTGTCTGTGGACAATGCCGGCTCTTCGGCTTATAAATAGAGATGAGCACCAGAGTCCCAGAGTCAGACATGACTGGACTTAATGTCTGGAGGAAACCTTTACCTTTACTACAACACACAACCAAAGTCCTCCTCGGGGCAGATGACCACCAAAGAGACCTCCAGAGGAGGAGGAAGCTCCATCAGAACCTTTCCTACTTCCCTGGCCTGTTGATGCTCACCCTCAGAGTGTTGCCCTGTGTGTCTCTGGCATCTTCCAAAGGAGGAGCAGAGAGTGACCGCTGCCCACCTTCGGACCCAACCTGCAGCTGTGTTTGTCCTTCCTTCCTTCCTTCCTTCAGGTCTGACCCACGTGCACAAGCGCAAGGTGGTCCCCTGCCACGTCCTCTCCGTCAAGAACCTCCAGAGCCCAGAGTCCAGGTGAGAGCACCGAGGGCGAGGAGGCCCTTCACACCCACCTTTGCCCTCCCAACCCCTGAGCAGGAGTGTGTCCACCCCAAGAGGTCAGCGGGGTCAGCCGCCCCACTGCTTCCCCACCATTGGCTCTAGAGAAGGGAGATGTTGACAAGCTGTTGAGGGTGACTCAAATGATCAAGCCTTGGTAAGACTGGTAGGCTGTTGGGAATGGTGGGAGTTGAAGTCCAAAACACCTGGAAGGCCCACTGCCCCTTTTAGCCCCCCTACCTGCCTTAGAGGCCTACTTGTTCATGGTGGAGCCCCCAAACAGAGCCCCCTTCCCTAGAATCCTAGAGTTGGAAGAGACCTCGTAGGCCATCAAGTCTAACCCGTTCTGCCAAGAAGCAGGAAAATTGCATTCAAAGCACCCCCAACAGATGGCCATCCAGTCTCTGTTTCAAAGCCTCCAAAGAAGGAGCCTCTACCACACTCCAGGGCAGAGAGTTCCACTGCTGAACGGCTCTCACAGTCAGGAAGTTCTTCCTCGTGTTCAGATGGAATCTCCTCTCTTGTAGTTTGAAGCCATTGTTCCTTGCGTCCTAGTCTCCAGGGAAGCAGAAAACAAGCTTGCTCCCTCCTCCTCCCTGTGGCTTCCTCTCACATATTTATACATGGCTATCATATCTCCTCTCATCCTTCTCTTCATCAGGCTAAACATGCCCAGCTCCTTAAGCCGCTCCTCATAGGGCTTGTTCTCCAGACCTTGATCATTTGAGTCACCTCCCTCTGGACACATTCCAGTTTGTCAATATCGCACTTCAATTGTGGTGCCCAGAACTGGACACAATATTCCAGGTAAAGTGGTCTAATCAAGGCAGAATAGAGCATGGGGAGCATGACTTCCCTGGATCTAGGCCTTAGACTCCCTGGCCTGGAAGTGGGGTGCAGATGGCATGGGTCCACTGGCCTCTCCCGGATTCCTGTCCAGTAGGACCAGCTCTTCCATCTGCATAGAGTGCCTTTGCAGAGCCATCCTGTTCTTTTTCTGCAGAGGAGTGGGTGGGCTGCGTTGCTGTTTTGGCAGCTTCTCGCCCTCTGCTTCCTTCACTTTTTCTCTCTCTCCAAAGGAGCTGTTGACAGTTTCAGTGTAAACCGAGACAACCCAAATTGGATTTCTCAAATACATGGGGAAAGGGTGGGTGGGGGTGTTCCCCAGTCTCTGTGGCCTGGAATCTCTCCTTTGCAAAAGGACACAGTAGGTGCCCACGCAAAGAGGACCTTTGGCAAAGGTTACCTGTCCAGCTTACCTGTCCGAACGTATCTCCCTCTACGTCCCACCTCGAAGTTTAAGATCTTCTGGGGAAGCCCTGCGGTGAGGGTGTTCCCCAGCCTCTGTGGCCTGGAATCTCTCCTTTGCAAAAGGACACAGTCGGTGCCCACGCAAAGAGGACCTTTGGCAAAGATTACCTGTCCAGCTTACCTGTCTGAGCGTATCTCCCTCTACGTCCCACCTCGAAGTTTAAGATCTTCTGGGGAAGCCCTGCGGTGGGGGTATTCCCCAGCCTCTGTGGCCTGGAATCTCTCCTTTGCAAAAGGACACAGCCGGTGCCCACGCAAAGAGGACCTTTGGCAAAGATTACCTGTCCAGCTTACCTGTCTGAGCGTATCTCCCTCTACGTCCCACCTCGAAGTTTAAGATCTTCTGAGGAAGCCCTGCGGTGGGGGTATTCCCCAGTCTCTGTGGCCTGGAATCTCTCCTTTGCAAAAGGACACAGTCGGTGCCCACGCAAAGAGGACCTTTGGCAAAGATTACCTGTCCAGCTTACCTGTCTGAGCGTATCTCCCTCTACGTCCCACCTCGAAGTTTAAGATCTTCTGGGGAAGCCCTGCGGTGAGGGTGTTCCCCAGCCTCTGTGGCCTGGAATCTCTCCTTTGCAAAAGGACACAGCCGGTGTCCATGCATAGAGGACCTTTGGCAAAGATTACCTGTCCAGCTTACCTGTCTGAGCGTATCTCCCTCTACGTCCCACCTCGAAGTTTAAGATCTTCTGGGGAAGCCCTGCGGTGGGGGTATTCCCCAGTCTCTGTGGCCTGGAATCTCTCCTTTGCAAAAGGACACAGTCGGTGCCCACGCAAAGAGGACCTTTGGCAAAGATTACCTGTCCAGCTTACCTGTCTGAGCGTATCTCCCTCTACGTCCCACCTCGAAGTTTAAGATCTTCTGGGGAAGCCCTGCGGTGAGGGTGTTCCCCAGCCTCTGTGGCCTGGAATCTCTCCTTTGCAAAAGGACACAGTCGGTGCCCACGCAAAGAGGACCTTTGGCAAAGATTACCTGTCCAGCTTACCTGTCTGAGCGTATCTCCCTCTACGTCCCACCTCGAAGTTTAAGATCTTCTGGGGAAGCCCTGTGGTGAGGGTGTTCCCCAGCCTCTGTGGCCTGGAATCTCTCCTTTGCAAAAGGACACAGTCGGTGTCCATGCAAAGAGGATGTTTGGCAAAGATTACCTGTCCAGCTTACCTGTCTGAGCGTATCTCCCTCTACGTCCCACCTCGAAGTTTAAGATCTTCTGGGGAAGCCCTGTGGTGAGGGTGTTCCCCAGTCTCTGTGGCCTGGAATCTCTCCTTTGCAAAAGGACACAGCCGGTGTCCATGCATAGAGGACCTTTGGCAAAGATTACCTGTCCAGCTTACCTGTCTGAACGTATCTCCCTCTACGTCCCACCTCGAAGTTTAAGATCTTTTGGGGAAGCCCTGCTCTCAATTCCACCTCTGTCAGAAACGCACTTGGTGGGGACGAAGTACAGGGCCTTCTTGGTGGTGGCCCCCCGCCTGTGGAAATCAGGTCAACAACATTCCTCCTTGCCTTCAGGAGGAAATTGAAAACGTGGTTATGGGACCAGGCCTTTGGGTAGCAGGCCAATAACTGACAATGGCAATGATGATAATGGACTCCGGATAGGCTTCCGATTGTGTTGTGCTCGCTGAATTCGTTTCTACATAAGCCTAGACAGCCAGTATTATTGTACTTTTGATTAATGTACTTTTTATTTTAAACTAATTTATATTGATATGTAATTATTGTATGTATTATTTATATGTAATGGCATCGAATTGTGCCGGATGTGAGCTGCCTTGAGTCCTCCCTCCCCCTCCGGAGGTTGAGAAGGGCGGGGTACAAATGTTTGAAATCAATCAATCAATCAATCATAAATATCAGGGGATGCAGAGGGACGCAGCCAGTGTTTATGGCCACCTGGGAAAAAGCCAGCAGGATCCGCTCCCTCTAAAGCACCCCCAACAGATGGCCATCCAGTCTCTGTTTCAAAGCCTCCAAAGAAGGAGCCTCCACCACACTCCGGGGCAGAGAGTTCCACTGCTGAACGGCTCTCACAGTCAGGAAGTTCTTCCTCATGTTCAGATGGAATCTCCTCTCTTGTAGTTTGAAGCCATTCCTCCATTGCGTCCTAGTCTCCAGGGAAGCAGAAAGGAAGCTTGCTCCCTCCTCCTCCTCCCTGTGGCTTCCTCTCACATATTTATACATGGCTCTCATCATGTCTCCTCTCAGCCTTCAATTCTTCAGGCTAAACATGCCCAGCTCCTTAAGCCGCTCCTCATAGGGCTTGCTCTCCAGACCCTTGATCATTTTAGTCGCCCTCCTCTGGACACATTCTCAGCCGATTTCTTTCTCTGGCAACCCGTGAGCCTTCTTGATACCACTAAAATCTTTTGTTTGGGACGATCCTTTCAGCCCGGGTGCCTTCTTCCCTCTGCTGTTCTGGGAGGTCCCACCCTCGGATTGTTTTCTCCTGCTCACCCAAATCTTCGTTATGTATTTATTTAATTTTGGGGGTTTTGTTAGGAATTTTGTTACCGGCTGTTAGGAATGGTGGGAGTTGTAGTCCAAAACACCTGGAGGGAGGGCCCAAGTTGACCCATGCCTGGTCTAGATTGTAGAATTAATGAATGCCATCAGCCCCACTTGAACTGCCAGGGCTCAATGCCCTGGGACCCTGGGAGTTGTAGTTTGGCTTTGGAAGACAGGGTGGAATGACTATTATCAAAGTATTCAGTGCTAGTCAAGGTGGCCAATTGCTGCATTCCCATAAAAGTTACAAGGATGCTCTACGGCAGGCATGGGCCAACTTGGGCCCTCCCTCCAGGTGTTTTGGACTTCAACTCCCATCAATTAAAAGCTTTTGCTGATTTGGCTGGTATGTTCTCTAGTTTCTCAGGTCTAACTAAATCCCTGGTGCTCATAGAATCATAGAATCACAGAGTTGGAAGAGACCTCCTGGGCCATCATCCAGTCCAACCCCATTCTGCCAAGAAGCAGGAATATTGCATTCAAATCACCCCTGACAGATGGCCATCCAGCCTCCAAAGATGGAGCCTCCACCACACTCCGGGGCAGAGAGTTCCACTGCTGAACAGCTCTCACAGTCAGGAATCACAGAGTTGGAAGAGACCTCTTGGGCCATCATCCAGTCCAACCCCATTCTGCCAAGAAGCAGGAATATTGCATTCAAATCACCCCTGACAGATGGCCATCCAGCCTCTGCTTAAAAGCTTCCAAAGAAGGAGCCTCCACCACACTCCGGGGCAGAGAGTTCCACTGCTGAACGGCTCTCACAGTCAGGAAGTTCTTCCTCATGTTCAGATGGAATCTCCTCACTTGTAGTTGTAGAATCTCCTCTCTTGTAGCTCCTTGAGGGACTACTCATTATGAGTTGAGCACCTTGCCAAGGAGGCCTTGGAGGTCCCGGCCGCTCTGCTACCCCTCTCTTTTGGGGAGGTTTCCTGCTTCTAGGCCTCCAATGGATTTCCCCATCAAACAGGGGCATGAGGGTGGGTACATGTGTGTGTGGACACGCTGCCACCCCTCTGCAGCCCTGAGAGCCTTTCCTCTCCGCTCCACAGCCGGTCCACCATCCTGGTGCAGCTGCAGACGGGAGACCACCCTGAGCTGCGCTACCAGCCGGGAGACCACCTGGGCATCTTCCCAGCCAACAGCCCTGAGCTGGTGCAGGAGCTGCTGGAGCGCATTGAGGACCCCCCGCCCCCCGGAGAGACGGTTGCTGTGGAGACCTTGGAGGCCGGAGTGGAAGGTGCGTGAGGTGGTACCAGCAATGGTGGCGCCAAGTCAAAACAACTCCATTCCATAGGACTTGTGTTCATGCAGTGGGTTCTACCAACCAAGTGCCAAGACAGATGGGGTACTGCTGGGGATTTCTCATCTTTGGAAGAGGAAGGGGAGCAGGGCAGTGCTCAGGAATTGGAGGGAGAAGAAGAATGAGAAAATGAGGGTTTGAAAGGGCCCACATTTCTAGAGAGACGAAAAGAGACAGAGCAAAGACGCCAGAATAGCTGCTAAAAACGCTGAGCTAATTGGGAGACGCCCTACCTCCTCTGCGTGGGGAATTCAGGGCTATAAATCAGAGGCAGGATTGGGTTGTTGTAGGTTTTTTCGGGCTATATGGCCATGTTCTAGAGGTGCCCTCACTACCTTTGAGGATGCTTGCCATAGATGCAGGCGAAACGTCAGGACAGAATGTCTCTAGAACATGGCCATATAGACTGAAAAAACCTACAACCACCCAGTGATTCCAGCCATGACAGCCTTCGACAATAGAGGCAGAATTAGTCAGCTTTTGCTGGTAACAACGACCCTGATAGTGCTGTTTTCACTCCAACACAATCTGCTTTGTGTCTGCTGCTAAGGACTTAATTCATTGCCCGTTGTCTTGTAAGAGACTTGAATTTGTGTCTGCATTAAGACTTCCTTGCTTTCTTTTGCACTTTTCAATTGCATTTGCTTATCCTTTGTGTTTTCTGAAGTAAAGCATTTTTTCTTTTATTTTCAATATTGTTTAAAGGCTGTTTTTGAAGGGCAATTCAGGACAGGTACTCTTGTCCTGGTGGTACTCTCCTCCCCCAATAACTGGCATTTCTTCCTTTGTTGGGGCTGACTGTGGTTCCCTTTTCTTAATTAGCCCAAAAACCTTCAGAGGTTTTTTTCTAATCCCAACCAAATTCTGAAAGCGAAAGAGATTGTTCAACAGGTTTAATTGATCAAGACACCTTGCGGGGTGAACTAAAGGAAAGTGCCATCTTCAACTGATGCACAGTTCAGTTTTATAGTCAGAACTTGAACATAGCATGAAGTTCAGTGAACTTTTCTCTTCCTATGCTCTCTCTTATCACTATCCTTTGTGCCTACTTCCTCAGCAGTTTGCATTCCCCTTTTTTCTCCCCACTTCTGGCTGATATTTCCCCCTCCAAGGCCCTCTCTTACCCTCCTTCAGTCTCCCATCCTTGCAGGTCACCTTCGTTGTTTTGACTTTCGTAACTTTCTCCTTTCGTAACTTTCTCTGTTGTTTTGACTTTCTCTCTCTCTCCCAGGACCTTTCAGGGCTTCCTTAGTGTCTAAACCTTTTGCTGTCTTGCAATTTTCCATTCTTCTTTATTTCCCTCTCTTCCTCAATCCCTACACATTGTCCATCTGTAAGGGGCAGCAGCCACAGGAGGGTCAGTGTGATGTCTGAGGGGGGAGTGTCCTTATGTGACCATGCTGAAAGGTCTACAAGAGCCATTGATAGTCTTCATAGTGATTGAATGGGTTGGATGGGACTCTGGGAGGAGGAAGATGAAGACAAGAGAGAGGGGTGGAAAACGAGAGCCCTCCCACTGCCACTGCCATTACTTCTGGGCAGTTTGCCTCCTCTCCTGCATCCCAACCCTGTTCTGAGTGTGGCCAGAAAGAGGCGGCAGGGATGGGGTCAGGACTCCTTTCTGCTTTCCTAAGGCTGTTCCTTGTCCCTCCTGCCCCACCCCGCAGGTGTGAAGCGCTTGTGGGTGCCGGACCCCCGCCTACCCCCTTGCACCCTGCGCCAGGCCCTCTCCTCCTTCTTGGACATCACCACTCCGCCCAGTCCACAGCTGCTCCAGCTCCTGGCCACGCTGGCAGAGGACCCCCGGGAGAAGGAGGCACTCCAGCGCCTCAGCAAGGTGGGATGGAGGGAGTGAAGCCCTGGCTGAGACCCCCACAGTGGGGCTGACCTGGGTGGAATTGGGGGGTGTCTCCTCAGGGGCAGGGGTGAGATGCCACCCCTGGTCAAGGATTAAAGCAGAGACAGCCAAAACAAGTCTACTAGGATCTACTTCTGGGGCATCTTTGGTAGTCCAACACTGTGTTCTTGCCCTGCTCACCCCCAGGATGCCCTTCTCTACGAGGAGTGGAAGTGGTTCCGCTGCCCAACGCTGGTGGAGGTGCTGGAGGAGTTCCCCTCGGTGCCTCTACCGGCCTCCCTGGCCCTGACCCAGCTGCCCCTGCTCCAGCCACGCTACTACTCCATCAGCTCTGCGCCGAGTGCCCATCCAGGACAAGTCCACCTCACCGTCGCCGTCCTCAACTTCCACAGCCAGAGTGAGTGACCGGAGGGGGGGGGGGTATTGGGGCGGTGGGAGGGGGGGTTACTGGGACACCGGATGGCTAGGTCAGCAGGGGTGAGTCTGGCATCCTGCCAAAGACTAGCAGTGAAAGGATCACTGGGGTGTTGTGGGGTTTCCAGGCCGTATGATTGCACGCAGGCGAAACATCACATGAATATGCTGGTTCAGTTAGTTAGGCGATCCCTCGTTTTCCGAGGATGATTGTTTTCCAACATTCTTGTGGGTCTGTATCTGGCTGTGGAGCCCTATACTTGCTCTACATCTTTTTCCGCAGTGAGGGCATTGGTTTCCAGGTGGAAGGCGGTCTCGATCGGGGTTGGCTTGACACGCCTTCCTCTTGGCACGTTTCTCTCTTTTGCCCTCCATTCGTGCCTCCTCAAATTCCGCAGCACTGCTCGTCACAGCTGACCTCCAGCTGGAGCGGTCAAGAGCCAGGGCTTCCCAGTTCTCAGTGTCTATGCCAGAGTTTTTAAGGTTGGCTTTGAGCCCGTCTTTAAATCTCTTTTCCTGCCCACCAACATTCCGTTTTCCGTTCTTGAGTTCGGAGTAGAGCAGCTGCTTTGGGAGACGGTGATCGGGCATCCGGACAACGTGGCCGGTCCAGCGGAATTGGTGGCGGAGGACCATCGCTTCAATGCTGCTGGTCTTTGCTTCTTCCAGCACTCTGACATTTGTCTGCCTGTCTTCCCAAGAGATTTGCAGGATTTTCCGGAGGCAGCGCTGATGGAATCGTTCCAGGAGTTGCATGTGACGTCTGTAGACAGTCCACATTTCGCCGGCATAGAGCAGGGTTGGGAGGACAATAGCTTTATAGACAAGCAGCTTGGTATCCCCACGGATGCCCCAGTCCTCAAACACTCTCTGCTTCATTCGGAAAAATGCTGCACTCGCAGAGCTCAGGCGGTGTTGTATTTCGGTGTCGATGTTGACTTTGGTGGAGAGGTGGCGAATATGCTGGTAGAACATGGCCATTAAGCTTGGAAACCACACAACATCCCAGTGATTCTGGCTGTGAAAGCCTTTGACAATATACTGAGAGGATCACTTATTCTGCTTCCTCTCTTTCGCCCCACAGATGGAAAGGGGCCCCTGCACTACGGGGTCTGCTCCACATGGCTTTCCCGCCGGATGCCTGGAGACATGGTACCGGCTTTTGTCCGAGGGTAAGGGGCTCACCGGGATTGGGGGGTGGCTGGCCTTAGACCCCGAGGGGATGCAGGAACATCTGGTCACCTTGTTGGAGCTGCTACAGCTGTTGGGAACCAAAGGCTAGCTATGGGCTTCTCACGATGGACAGAGGAGGAAATACTTTCCAGGTTGAGCCGTGTCTACTAGGAGCCACTGTTGCCTGCAGAAGTCCTGGCGGTCTTTTGACCTGTCCTCACCCTGGGGCTGCTGTCCACCTAGGTGGGTCTTCCTTAATGACTGCCCTCTGTCCCTCTCAGGGCTCCCAACTTCCAGTTACCCCAGGACCCCTCCGTCCCCTGCATCTTGGTGGGTCCTGGAACCGGCATCGCCCCTTTCCGGAGCTTCTGGCAACAGCGGATGCATGAAATTGAGACCCAGGGTGAGTCATGGCAACCCTCGCATGGATTGGAGAGCAGCGATGACGGGGGCCCCATTGCAACCCCATCCCTGTTCACCATTTCCCTGTCTTTTCCCCACCCCAGGCCTCCCATCCAGTGAGATGACCCTGGTCTTTGGGTGCCGCAGCTCCCTCCACGACCAGATCTACGAGGAGGAGATTCACGAGGCCCAGCAGAAGGGGGCCCTCAGCCGGGTCTTGACGGGATTCTCCCGTGATCCAGATTACCCCAAGGTAGGGACAGTCTGGGGAGGGGGGCAGACCTTAGGACTGGGGGCTCCCAACAGCACTCAGCATCTGATCACGGAGGGGCCTTGGGAAGGGTCATGTCCATGGATCCACCTCTGGACACATGGGGTTCCTCAGGGGGCCATTCTCTCCCCTCTGTTGTTTAACATCTATATGCGACCACTTGCTCAGCTGGTTCGAGGTTTTGGGCTTGAGTGTTATCAGTATGCCGATGACACTCAGCTGGTGCTGAAGATGGAAGGCCGACCGGACTCTGTACCCGATTGTTTCCATCAGTGCCTCGAGGCCGTGACTGGATGGCTGCGTGCCAGCAGGTTGAGGGTGAATCCAGCAAAGACGGAGATCCTATGGCTGGGTCAACCGGGCAGTGGGGACATCCAGCTGCCTACCCTGGATGGCGAGGCGCTATGCCTGTCATCATTGGTCAAGAGTCTGGGAGTCCTTTTGGACCCTCTGCAGACGATGGAGGCCCAGGTCTCTCTCCGCCGTGAGCAGAGCCGCCTTTTTTCACCTGAGGCAGGTTAGACGGCTGGCCCCCTCCCTGTCCAGGGATGACCTAGCTACGGTGATCCAGGCCACGTTCATCTCAAGACTGGACTACTGTAACGCCCTCTACATTGGCCTTCCTCTGTCGGCAATCCGGAAGCTCAAGCTGGTACAAAACGCAGCTGCTCGGCTTCTTGCGGGAATTCCGATGAGATGCCACATCACCCCAATCTTACTACATCTGCATTGGTTACCAATTGAGCACCGGATCACTTTCAAAGGGATGGGACTCACCTTGAAGGCCTGGCATGGTCTGGGGCCGATGTACCTGAGGGACCGCCTCACCCCCTCCCAACCCCAGAGATCCCTCCGTTCTGAGGACCAAGATCTATTGGAAGTCCCCAGTGTCAAGACCTTGCGTCTAACAGCAACCAGGCGCAGAGCCTTCACAGCAGTGGCACCATCACTCTGGAATACTCTGCCACCTGAAGTCCGTGCCTTGCGGGACTTACCAGCTTTCCGCAGGGCATGGAAGACATACCTGTTTCGACAGGCTTTTAATGTTTGATACTGTTGTTTTTAAATTGTTTTAAATTGCTTTTAAATTTTGTTAGATTTTAGCCATTCTTGTAAGCCGCTCCGAGCCCCAGGGAAGGGAGTGGCCGCATAGAAGTTTAAATAATAAATAAATAAATGCATGGTGGACAAGGGGTCACCATGTGGGAGTCCAGGTCCCAGGCATGGGAGGAGTCCCATGTGCTACTTCCAGCTGGGCCTCTCTCCCCACACATTCCAGACCTATGTCCAGGACCTACTGCGGATGTCCCTCTCCGGCTACGTCTTCGAAGCCCTATGCCGGCGCCAGGGACACATGTACGTCTGTGGCGACGTCACCATGGCGACGGGGGTCCTGCAGACCGTCCAGCAGATACTAGCCAAGGAAGGGAAGATGGCGCTGGCCGAGGCCGGAGACCTGATCAGTGAGCTTCGGGTGAGCAAAGGACAGGATCTGGGGGTTAGGACACTGACCACATGAGCTTTGTCCAACTCTGAGGATTTGTGGTGGGTGACGCAGAAGGTGGGGTGCTCCTCAAAAAGGTCGGGATCCATGTTGGCCTTGCTGAAGGTAGGTCCACTTTTGACGTGGTCCCCCATGGATCCCCCTCTCTGTTCCTGGAGAGAGGTGGCACTCTGCATGTGTATTTGGGGAGGGGGCTTCCAGACAGTTCCAAGGCAACATCTCTTTCCTCCTGTTTGGTCTCAGGACAAGAACCGCTATCACGAGGACATCTTCGGCCTGACCTTCCGGACGCAGGAGGTGGCCTCTCGAATCCGGAGCCAGTCCTTCACCAGCCAGAGGCGGAGCTTGCTGATGGGACCCTGAGCTGCCCCACGTCTGTGGGATTTTGCGTCTTATATGTCGATCGCCCCACTTCCGTGGGACTTATGTGTTGACGTCCTTGAAGCTGTTGTCAAATACCCTGTTCATCCCAGCCTTGGCGGAGAACGGGTTGAGGGGGCAACGGGGGGTGGAGGTCTTGATTTGGGGTATTTTTTTTACGTAGAAGCCCACAAACGAGGGCCAAGTGCAAAAGATAAAAGTAAAATTAAAGGATTTTGGGGTTTTGAGTTCCAGAATTTGAGTTCCCCTCCAAAGCCACCTCCACGTTGTCCCGGGATGGCTTCATTTTCAGCACAGAATTTTGTGATTGTTCCTGCGGCTCCGACATCGTTGGGAGCACGTTCCAATCCTCATCGAAGTGTAAATATCTCACTATCTTCTCATGGAAAGTGAGAATAACAACAACACTTTATTCCGACTGATCCCGCTCCCTGCTTCATTCAGGGCTCTCCAGATCACAATGAATAAACCGTCACTAGTGTTGGAGGAAAGACCAGGGAAGGGAGAGCGATGCTGCCGAGGTAGGGCTCAGGTTGGCTTCACCAGGTGAGCAAAGGCTACACCTGATCAAAGGCAGATTCACCTGCCGATATACAGGCAGTCCTTGAGTTACAGACACCTGGAAGTTGTCTCAGCTCCATTCTCATGTTCAGATGGAAAGGAGATTTCACCTGAACATGAGGAAGAACTTCCTGATTGTGAGAGAGGGCTCTTCAGCAGTGGAACTCACTCTCTGCCCCAGAGTTGGTGGAGGCTCCTTCTTTGGAGGGTTTGAAGCAGAGGCTGGATGGCCATCTCTCAGGGGGGCTTTGACCGATGACCATCTGTCAGGCAAGGCTCAGGGTGGCTTCATCAGATGAGCAAAAGCCAATGGGATTTTGGCCTGCATCAATAGGAGTCTAGTGTCTAGGTTCAGGGAAGTCATGCTCCCCATGCTCTATTCTGCCTTGGTTAGACCACACCTGGAATATAGTGTCCAATTCTGGGCATCACAACTGAAGGGAGATGTTGACAAGCTGGAATGTGTCCAGAGGAAGAGGGCGGCTAAAATGATCAAGGGTCTGGAGAACAAGCCCCATGAGGAGTGGCTTAAGGAGCTGGGCATGTTTAGCCTGAAGAAGAGAAGGATGAGAGGAGACATGATGAGGGCCATGTATAAATATGTGAGAGGAAGCCACAGGGAGGAAGCTTCCTTTCTGCTTCCCTGGAGACTAGGACGCAAGGGAACAATGGCTTCAAACTACAAGAGAGGAGATTCCACCTGAACATGAGGAAGAACTTCCTGACTGTGAGAGCCGTTCAGCAGTGGAACTCTCTGCCCAGGAGTTTGGTGGAGGCTCCTTCTTTGGAGGTTTTTAAACAAAGGCTGGATGGCCATCTGTTAGGGTGCTTTGAATGTGTTTATCCTGCTACTTGGCAGAATGGGGTTGGACTGGATGGCCCAGGAGGTCTCTTCCAACTCTTTGATTCTATGATTCTATCTCTCAGGGGGGTTTTGACAGATGGCCATCTGTCAGGCAGGGCTCAGGTTGGCTTCACCAGATGAGCAAAAGCCAATGGGATTTTGGCCTTCATCAAGAGGAGCCTAGTGTCTAGATCTAGGGAAGTCATGCTCTCCATGCTCTACTCTGCCTTGGTTAGACTACACCTGGAATATTGTGTCCAATTCTGGGCACCACAAGTGAAGGGAGATGTTGACAAGCTGGAATGTGTCCAGAGGAAGACGGCGACTCAAAGGCTCCAGGTTCTGGAGAACAAACCCTATGAGGAGCGGCTCAAAGAGCTGGGCATGTTTAGCTTGTAGAAGGGAAGGCTGAGAGGAGACCTGATGACAGCCATGTATATGAAGGGAAGTCCTAGGGAGGAGGGAGGGAGCTTCCTTTCTGCTGACCTGGAGACTAGGACACAATGGAGCCATGGCTTCAAACTACAAGAAACTCCACTTTGGCAGAAAAAATGAAACGCAGAGACAGAATGGGGGGCGATGAGGCCTGGCTCGAGAGCAGGACGTGTGAAAAAGATCTTGGGAGTCCTCGTGGACAGGAAGGGGAACATGAGCCAGGAATGTGATGTGGCGGCAAAAAAAGCCAATGGGATTTTGGCTTGTATCAATAGGAGCCTAGTGTCTAGATCTAGGGAAATCCTGCTCCCCATGATTTTAGTGTTGCCAGAGAAAGAAATCACGGGTTGCCAGAGAAAGAAATCGGCTGAGAATGTGTCCAGAGGAGGGCGACTCAAATGATCAAGGGTCTGGAGAACAATCCCTATGAGGAGCGGCTTAAGGAGCTGGGCATGTTTAGCCTGAAGAATTGAAGGCTGAGAGGAGACATGACGAGGGCTATGTATAAATATGTGAGAGGAAGCCACAGGAAGGAGGAGGGAGCAAACTGGTTTTCTGCTTCCCTGGAGACTAGGATGCAATGGAACCATGGCTTCAAACTACAAGAGAGGAGATTCCATCTGAACATGAGGAAGAACTTCCTGACTGTGAGAGCCGTTCAACAGTGGAACTCTCTGCCCCGGAGCATGGTGGAGGCTCCTTCTTTAGAAGCTTTTAAACAGACGCTAGATGGCCATCTGTTGGGGATGCTTTGAATGTGATTTTCCTGCTTCTTGACTTCAAACTACAGGAAAAGAGATTCTACCTGAACATGAGGAAGAACTTCCTGACTGTGAGAGCCGTTCAACAGTGGAACTCTCTGCCCCGGAGCATGGTGGAGGCTCCTTCTTTAGAAGCTTTTAAACAGACGCTAGATGGCCATCTGTTGGGGATGCTTTGAATGTGATTTTCCTGCTTCTTGACTTCAAACTACAGGAAAAGAGATTCTACCTGAACATGAGGAAGAACTTCCTGACTGTGAGAGCCGTTCAACAGTGGAACTCTCTGCCCCGGAGCATGGTGGAGGCTCCTTCTTTAGAAGCTTTTAAACAGACGCTAGATGGCCATCTGTTGGGGATGCTTTGAATGTGATTTTCCTGCTTCTTGACTTCAAACTACAGGAAAAGAGATTCTACCTGAACATGAGGAAGAACTTCCTGACTGTGAGAGCTGTTCAGCAGTGGAAGCTTCTTCCCCAGAGTGTGGTGGAGGCTCCTTCTTTGGAGACAGAGGCTGGATGGCCATCTGTCAGGGATGCTTTGAACGTGATTGTCCTGCTTCTTGGCAGAATGAGGTTGGACTGGATGATGGCCCACCAGGTCTCTTCTAACTCAAGGACTCTATGGTCAGAGGCAGATTCACCCAGTGATATACAGGAAGTCCCTGAGATATAAACACAAGACTCAGCTGAGACAACAGGAAGTGAGAGAAATCTGCCCCTTAGAAGGGAAATTCGCTCCTGGGAAGAGTTGTTATTATTATGATGGGGCGGGAAAGGGGTCTGCACTAAAGTAAAAGGCCACTATACACAAAATAAATAAATAAATAAATAAGATCTATGCTGTAGAACTACAACATTCAATGTACTAACAGCTTGTGCAAAGTATACTTAACAAAGATACACAATGCAAATCTCTAAACCAAAAAAAATTATTTTATGGGATAAACACTTAAATTCCTACAGCAAAATGCACAAATTTATCAGTCCTTTTCGAAAACCAAAAGTTTAGGAACGACCAATCGAAGTTGAATGTTGTAGTCCTACAGCACAGATCTGATGTACATTCTCATGATTAAAGAACTGCATTATTTTTTGTGTATAGTGGCATTTTTGCCTTTGTACTTCGGGGAATCCTTTCTCTCTATTGGCTTCATCATCAGTTCTTGATCCCCCAGCAGGGCAATGGGTTTAACATGAGGAAGAACTTCCTGACTGTGAGAGCCGTTCAGCAGTGGAACTCTCTGCCTCGGAGGGAGTGTGGTGGAGGCTCCTTCTTTGGAAGCTTTGAAACAGAGGCTGGATGGCCATCTGTCAGGGGTGATTTGAATGCAATATTCCTGCTTCTTGGCAGAATGGGGTTGGACTGGATGATGGCCCAGGAGGTCTCTTCCAATTCTATGATTCTATGACCGTGAGAGCCGTTCAGCAGTGGAACTCTCTGCCTCGGAGGGAGTGTGGTGGAGGCTCCTCCTTTGGAAGCTTTGAAACAGAGGCTGGATGGCCATCTGTCAGGGGTGATTTGAATGCAATATTCCTGCTTCTTGGCAGAATGGGGTTGGACTGGATGATGGCCCAGGAGGTCTCTTCCAATTCTATGATTCTATGGACTGTGAGAGCCGTTCAGCAGTGGAACTCTCTGCCCCGGAGGAGTGTGGTGGAGGCTCCTTCTTTGGAAGCTTTTAAACAGAGGCTGGATGGCCATCTGTCAGGGGTGATTTGAATGCAATATTCCTGCTTCTTGGCAGAATGGGGTTGGACTGGATGATGGCCCAGGAGGTCTCTTCCAATTCTATGATTCTATGATTCTATGACCGTGAGAGCCGTTCAGCAGTGGAACTCTCTGCCTCGGAGGGAGTGTGGTGGAGGCTCCTTCTTTGGAAGCTTTGAAACAGAGGCTGGATGGCCATCTGTCAGGGGTGATTTGAATGCAATATTCCTGCTTCTTGGCAGAATGGGGTTGGACTGGATGATGGCCCAGGAGGTCTCTTCCAATTCTATGATTCTATGACCGTGAGAGCCGTTCAGCAGTGGAACTCTCTGCCTCGGAGGGAGTGTGGTGGAGGCTCCTCCTTTGGAAGCTTTGAAACACAGGCTGGATGGCTATCTGTCAGGGGTGATTTGAATGCAATATTCCTGCTTCTTGGCAGAATGGGGTTGGACTGGATGGCCCATGAGGTCTCTTCCAACTCTTTGATTCTATGATTCTGCTGGCAGGATTGCTGACTGAAAAGTCAGCAGTTCGAATCCAGGGAGTGGGGTGAGCTCCCACCTGTCAGCTCCAGCTTCTCATGTGGGGACATGAGAGAAGCCACCCACAGGATGGTAACACATCCAGGCAATATCCTTGCAGATGGCCAGTTCTCTCACACCAGAAGCGACTTGCAGTTTCTCAAAGTTGCTCTGACACAAAAAAAAAATCACCGAAGTTTCATCATCGATTCTAGTTTCCACCGCAAGCCGAGTGTTTCAATTCTCATGGGGACGGAAAGTGAGGCGAAATCTTCTGAGCAGAGGCACAGGCAGCACAGGAATTTCCACAGGGACGTCCACCCTTCCCTGTGCTTTCCAAAGCTTTTGCATCCCTTGGGCTGGGGTTCCATTTAAGAAATGTCCCTGTTCCAACTAACAAACTAATTCAGCGTAAGAGCAAACCTCCAGAAGCTCTCTTGTTTGTAACTTGGGGGGCTGCCTGCACCCAATGCCCACCTCCCTTGAGCCTTGCACTTCTGAGCCACCCCCCCCCCCCCCCCCCGCTGGAGGATGAACCAGGAGTCCTTGTTGGCCGCACCTGTAAACATTTATTGTCTGTCCTGAGATGGGAGCGGCACCCCATGGAAACGCACCCCCCAACCCGCCTCCCCCTCCCCAAGGCTCCCTCCCATCATCAGAGCCGCTTTGGGGGGAGGAGGAGGAGGGGCTGGGGTCCTACTTAGCAGCAGAGGGAAGGCGGGGGAAGCACACGTTGAGGGAGGGGCAGTGGGGGGGTGGTGGAGCCAGGGGATGGGGGTCCCCAAGGCTCCTCTGTCCATTGCAGGGACCCTTTAAATACAAGTAGCACCAGGCAGGGCCAGTCCGGCCCATAGCTTATTCACCCCGAGCGAGACGGGCACACGTCGCCAGCCAGCGAGGCCGCCCCGCCAAGGCCTCTTCTCCCAGGCCAATGTCCACCCAGGGCAGGGGCAGCGCCACCCCTCCAGCCCTGGCCGAGGACATCCCCGCGGGTCATCTTCCGGCCCCGTCCAGGGTGGAGGAGGAATCCTCTCGGCACGAACGAGTCGCCAGTTCAGAAACCTGGAGGAACAAAGGGCAGGAAGGTTGGGTCGAGAAGAGCCAGTAGGTAATGTTTTAAGGCTTTGTACAGTTTTTATATTTTTTTATATCATACTAGCCATCCCCTGCCATGCGCTGCTGTGGCCCACATGGGGGTTCTGTGTGGGAGGTTTGCCCCACTTCTATCATTGGTGGGGTTCAGAATACTCTGTGATTGTAGGTGAACTATAAATCCCAGCAACTACAACTCCCAAATGTCAGGATTCTATTTCCCCTAAACTCCACCAGTGTACACATTTGGTCATATCGAGTATTCATGTAGAGCTTGGTCCAGATCCATCGTTGTTTGAGTCCACAGTGATCTCCAGATGTAGGTGAACTACAAATCCAAAGGCAAAGGACACTGCCCACCAAATCCTTCCAGTATTTTCTGTTGCTCATGGGAGAACTGTGTGCCAAGTTTGGTGGACCTCTTTGATTGTAGGTGAACTATAAATCCCAGCAACTACAACTCCCAAATGACAAAATCAATTTTTTTAGTGAAGACATACATGCTGTAGTGTGCTGCAGCAATGCAAAAGACCAATGCCTGATAGCTGTATTGTGTCCATATTTGGTGTCAATTCGTCCCGTGGTTTTTGAGTTCTGTTAATCCCACAAACAAACATTACATTTTTATTTATAGAGATGCTATTGTTTTTAACAAATTTTCTTGATTGTTTTGACTTGTTATAATTGTTGAGGCATGGAAATTTCTGCCAATTTGTGAACCGCTCCGAGTTGCTTCTGGGCAGAGAGGGAGATAAATATAGTAAATAAATAAATAAACAAATAATACTTTGCTGCTGCAGACGAAAAGGCCAATGCAATGCTAGGCTGCATCCATAGGAAGGGCAAAGGGCAGGAAGGTTGGGTCAAGAAGAGATAGTACTGTGCTGCAGCAGTGAAAAAGGCCAATGCAATGCTAGGCTGCATCCATAGGAGAAGCAAAGGGTGGAAAGGTTGGGTTGAGGAGTCAGCAGTGTGCCGCAGTAGTGAAAAAGGCCAATGCAATCCTAGGCTGCATGCAAAGGAGGGGAAAATGGCAGGAAGGTTGGTCCGCAGAGAGCCAGTAGTGCACTGCAGCAACTAAAAAGGCCAATGCAATCCTAGGATGCATCCAAAGGAGGGGAAAAGGGCAGGAAAGTTGGGTGCAGAAGAGCCAGCAGTGTGCTGCAGCAATGCAAAAGGCCAATGCAATCCTAGGATGCATCCATAGAAGCAAAGGGTGGAAAGGTTGGGTCAAGAAGAGCAAGTAGTGTGCTGCAGCAGCGAAAAAGGCCAATGCAATCCTACACTGCATCCAAAGGACAGACAAAAGACAGGAAGGTTGGGTTGAGAAGAGCCACCAGTGCACTGCAGCAACGCAAAAGGCCAATGCAATCCTAGGCTGCATCCATAGGAGGGGAAAAGGGCAGGAAAGTTGGGTGCAGAAGAGCCAGCAGTGTGCTGCAGCAATGCAAAAGGCCAATGCAATCCTAGGCTGCATCCATAGGAGGGGAAAAGGGCAGAAATGTTGGGTCAAGAAGAGCCAGTAGATAATGTTTTAAGGCTTTGTACAGTTTTTGTATTTTTTATATCATATGCTATTGTTTTTCACAGAATTTCTTGATTTTTACTTGTTATAATTGTTGAGGCATCAAACTGTTGCCGATTTGTGAACCGCTGAGTCGCTTCTGGGCAGAGAGGGGCGGCAGATAAATATAGTAAATCTATATAAATAAAAATGTAATGTTTGTTTGTGATATTCACAGAACTCAAAAACCCCTGGATGAATTGACACCAAATTTGGACATGATACACCTAACAACCCAATGTATGTCCTTCACTCAAAAAAAAAACCCACTGAAAACACAGCAGAAGGGGCTTAAAAAGCCCCAAAAAGCTAAATGACAATACAGAAAAAAGAGAAGAAAGAGGGAGGGAAGGGGAGAAAAAAAAAGAAAGAAAGAAAGAGGGAGAGAGGGAAAGAAAGAAGGAAAGGGAGAAGGAAACATGGAAGCAAAGAGAGAAGGAAGGAAAGAGGTAGAGAAGGAAGAAAGGAGAGAAAGAAAAAGGGGGAGGAAGGAAAGTTAGAAAAGGAAGGAAGGAGAGAAGGAAAGAAAAAAGGGAAAGAGGAAGTGAAGGAAGGGGGAAAGGGAGAAAGATGTAGAGAAAGAGGAAGGGAAGGGAAGAAAGAAGGAAGAAAAGACAGCAGAAGAAAAAAGGGAAGGAAGGAAGGAGAGAAGGAAAGAGAAAGGGGGGGGGGAGATGTAGAGAACAAGGGAGGGAAGGAAAGAAGGAAAGAGACAAGGAAGAAAAGAGAGACAGCAGAAGAGAAAGAAAAAGGGGGAAGGAAGGAAAGAGAGAGAAGAAAGGAAGAGGAGGAGGAAAGACGGGAAAGAAGGAAGGAAAGAGGGAGTGAAGGAAGGAGGGAAAGAAGGAGAGAAAGAGGGAAGGTTGGTCACAGCAACGCGTGGTGGATGAGCTAGTAAATCAATAATAATAAATACTTTGCTGCTGCAGCCAGAAAGGCCAATGCAATGCTAGGCTGCATCCAAAGGAAGGGCAAAGGGCAGGAAAGTTGGGCCGCTAAGAGCCAGCAGTGTGCTGCAGCAGCCAAAAAGACCAATGCAATCTGAGGCTGTATCCAAAGGAAGGGCAAAGGGCAGAAAGGTTGGGTGGAGAAGAGCTAGCAGTGTCGTGCAGCAGCGAAAAAGGCCAATGCAATCCTAGGCTGCATCCAAAAGAGTCTAGTGGAACTAAGACTTCCCTCGATCGAGAAACGTTATAGTCCTTCTCTCAGTCTTTCCCTGAAAAAGCCCTGCATCCAGTTATGGGCAAAACAATTCAAGAAGCAAGTGGTCAACATGGAAGGGGTCCATAAAAGGGGGATTCCATGATTCCTTCTGAGAAGTGGGTTAAGGAGCAGGGGATGTTTGAAGCAGAGAAGGCTAAGAAGAGGAATGGGCCACCTTTGGCCGTGCAGGTGTTTTGGACTCCGACTCCCACCATTCCTCACAGCCTCAGGCCCTTTCCTTTTCCCCCTCAGCCGCTTAAGGGCCTGAGGCTGTGAGGAATGGTGGGAGTCGGAGTCCAAAACACCTGCACAACCCAAGTTGGCACATACTTGCTCAATCAGGAAGGCTGAAATGGTGTTTTCCTTGGATGGGGTTGGGCTGGATGGCCCCTGGGAGTCCCTTCCAAGGTGGGTGCCCCAAAACTCTGGGTGCAGGAGGGGTCTTGGGGTCTGTGCTCCCCCCTTGGAATGCCCCCCCTGGTCAGCCAGAATGCCCAACCGGAGGTCCCTTGCTGTCTCCACGTGCTCCCTTCGTGGCCCTTACTTTGCCAAGAGAGGGAAGGAAGGTCCCCCGGCGGTGGTGGGCGCTAGCTCTTCTCTCTCTCCGGCCGCTGGCTCCCAGGCGCTTCCTCTTCCTGCCAGCCCCCCAGGCCCCCATCCATGCGCTGCGAGGACCTGGCGCCATCACCTGAAGGAAGGAAAGGCAGGTGAGGTGAGTTTTGGGATTGCATCCTGCGCCCTCCTCCTGGATGGACCCTTCTGGGCCCCTAAGTCAGCTCAGAAGGGTCCTTGGGTAGAGAGGGAAAGCTTTGCCATGCAAGTGGTCCCCGGATCTCTTTGTGGACCCCAACCAAGAGAGAGCAGACCCTTAGAACACAGCACAAGGCCCACGGACAGATGCCGCACAACCGAAACTCATTTGCAAGCCCTGACCTGCTTCGGCTGACTGTTGAGGAGGGCTGTGGGGAGACCCTTCCTCTCGCGGCCGGTGGTGCTGTTGGTGCCGGAGCTGAAACACAGAAAGGGAGCGGTCAGAAGCTGGAAGGACGTTGATAGCAGTAGAGGGGCTCCTTGGGCCCCAAAGCAGTAGAGGGGCTCCTTGGGCCCTGCTCTGAGTCGCCTCCGGGCTGATATGAGCGGGGTAGAAATAATGCAAATCAATAAATGCAAATAAAAGAGTGGAGGGTGGCTCACCTCGTGCATGTAAATAGCGTGGAGGCTCATCTCGGCCGAGGCAAACTCAGACAGCGCCACAGAGCGGGACAGCGGCCCTTGGCGCACCTCAGGTGGGGCAGTGCTGTGGAAAAGAGAAGGCAAGGGGTGTCAGTACCCCACTCTACACACACACACACACACATATCATCATTATTTTGGTGTAACAGCTTAATAAGCCTCATCCACATTTGCATTAGCCAGTATACATCATAAACACCGCCTCTCTATCAAATCAAATGCTGATAAGAACTTTATAAAAGTTCTATAAATATATTAATTTGAGATAACGATACATTTCTATATAAGATTATGTAATGTCAAGTCTTGATCCAGAGTAGAATCATAGAATCAAAGAGTTGGAAGAGACCTCCTGGGCCATCCAGTCCAACCCCATTCTGCCAAGAAGCAGGAATATTGCATTCAAAGCACCCCTGACAGATGGCCATCCAGCCCCTGTTTAAAAGCTTCCAAAGAAGGAGCCTCCACCACACTCAGGGGCAGAGAGTTCCACTGCTGAACGGCTCTCACAGTCAGGAAGTTCTTCCTCATGTTCAGATGGAATCTCCTCTCTTGGAGTTTGAAGCCATTGTTCCCTTGCGTCCTAGTCTCCAGGGAAGCAGAAAACAAGCTTTCTCCCTCCTCCTCCCTGTGGCTTCCTCTCACATATTTATCCATGGCTATCATATCTCCTCTCAGCCTTCTCTTCTTCAAGCTAAACATGCCCAGTTCCCTAAGCCGCTCCTCATAGGGCTTGTTCTCCAGACCCTTGATCATTTTAGTCGCCCTCCTCTGGACACATTCCAGCTTGTCAATATCTCTCTTGAATTGTGGTGCCCAGAGTACTTCTGCCTCTCCTGAAATGTGTTTGTTCCCCATAGATAATAGATAAAATAATTATCCCTTTCCAGAGATTTGTGTGAAAGGTGTCATGTACTGAGTTTAGGCGCCACATATAAGAGGGATCTTTTGTGTCCCCCCCTTTTGAAGATTGGCACAACAATGATAGACTGCCACTCAGAAAGAAAACTGCCAGTTGAGTTAATATAATGTAAATACATGATTTTGCAAGAATAAGTGCCCACCAACCAATGTCTATTGTAGATACCTTAAGGGACATTATAGTTTCTCCAAGGGCCCTTTGGTATATGAAAATCAGATTTTTTAAAATTTCAACTTGAAAATAAGGATGACCACTCAGGAAATTTATCAGAACTCTGTAGCATATTGGCTTTATAGTCAAGTTGCTTCCAAAGATGTGCCTAAAATGGAGAGCTCATACCTCAGAAGTAATTGGGGAACAGGCTCACTGGTCTTATGCACTTTCTGTAACCACTCCATGTCAAATTACAGAATTTGGCTCCCTTGTGTTTACTAAGGGTCAGGCCCAAAGACATCCACTTAACAAAATAAGCCTTTCACAGGAAAGGGTTTATATTATTTCCATTGTTGCTTAAGAAAAGAAATGGTTTTGCCCACGCCTAAATGTTTCAACTCTTTTGTTAGCTTACTCAGATACTCCTTCTTGGATTTGGACTCTATATCAAACCAGATCTGTATTAGTATGTGACCTTATAATCAACCACACTGGTTCCTTTGTTAGTTAAACATGTAAAGTACCCCTTCAAGTGGTCTGTACAAGTACTATTAAAGCAGATATATACAGGGCCCCCTGACTGCCTTAACCTGCTGTTTATCTTCCAGTCCCAATTCAAGGTGCAGGTTCTTACCTACAAGGCCTTACACCAGGGGTCCTCAAACTAAGGCCCGGGGGCCGGATACAGACCTCCAAGGTCATTTACTCAGCCCTTGCTCAGGGACAATCTAAGCCTGAAACAATTTGAAAGCACACAACAACAACAACAACAACAACAACCCTATCTCTGTGTCATCTGTACGCAGATGATGTCCAACTCTGTCACTCCTTTCCACCTGCTACTAAGGAGGCTGTCGAGGTCCTGAACCGGTGCCTGGCCGCTGTAACGGTCTGGATGAGGGCGAACAAATTGAAATTGAATCCAGACAAGACAGAGGTACTCCTGGTCAGTCGCAAGGCCGAACAGGGTATAGGGTTACAGCCTGTGCTGGATGGGGTCGCACTCCCCTTGAAGGCGCAGGTTCGCAGCTTGGGTGTGACCCTGGATTCATCGTTGAGCCTGGATCTCCAGGTTTCAGGGGTGACCAGGGGAGCATTTGCACAGCTTCGGCTCGTGCGCCAGCTGCGCCCGTATCTTGGGAAGTCTGACTTGGCCACGGTGGTACATGCTCTGGTCACATCCCGCCTTGACTACTGCAACGCTCTCTACGTGGGGCTGCCCTTGAAGACGGCCCGGAAGCTTCAGCTAGTCCAGCGCGCGGCAGCCATGTTACTAACGGGAGCGGGACGCAGGGAGCATACAACGCCCTTGTTGTCCCAGCTCCACTGGCTGCCGATTTGCTACCGGGCCCAATTTAAGGTGCTGGTGTTATCCTACAAAGCCCTAAATGGTTCCGGCCCAAAATACCTTTCGGACCGCATCTCGGCCTATGAGCCCACGAGGGCCTTGAGATCGTCTGGGGAGGCCCTTCTCTCGATCCCGCCTGCCTCACAGGCACGTCTGGCGGGGACGAGAGAGAGGGCCTTCTCAGTGGTGGCCCCCCGGCTGTGGAACACCCTCCCTGTTGACATCAGACAGGCGCCCTCCCTTATGGCTTTTCGTAAGAGCTTAAAGACCTGGCTATTCGAGAAGGCATTTAATTGAGACCCACACGAACTTGGTTATGAAATTGGAACGGACTATGGATTATGAGACTGGCTATGACTCTATGTTATGATGGCGCGGATCTATTAGTGTAATTTAGATTAATGTGTAACTCAATTGTTGTTATATTGTATGTTTTTGTAGATGGTTTTTTACATGTTGTACACCGCCGCGAGTCGCCCCAGGGCTGAGAGCGGCGGTCAACAAATGAAGTAAATAAATAAATAAATAAATCTCATCAGCCCAAAGCAGGTCCACAGTTCCCATTGAACTCAAGTCTCCAGTTCTCAATGAGTAAGTAGGCTAGAGATAGGATTAGAGTGAGGGATTCCTCCCCGCAGATTCCTATACACGCTTTATCTCTACTCCTCTTGCTTGCCACTATCTCCTCCACCTTTGAAGATGTAGCAGTGGAATCTCTGTGAGGAAACTTCCTTTTAAAGGTATTTTTATTGCCCTGGGCTGGCCATGTGGCCATTCGCCACCATTATCTCTTCTGCCTTTTCTTCCTTCCAGTGAGGATGCACATTTTGCATCTCTCTTTAGGCAAAATGTAGCTGCATGGATTTTTTTTTTGGCTATTTATTTATTTATTTACAGTTCTTATATTCCGCCCTTCTCACCCCGCAGGGGACTCAGGGCGGATTACAGTAAACACATATATGGCAAACATTCAATGCCAGTTTGACAAACAACATTTAACAGACAAAGGCTATTTAACTTTTTTCTGGCTGCCAGGGGAGCTGCTGCTTTTCATCGTCCATCAACGACACCGATGAAGTTCTTCCGCATTCCACATTCCCCGGAGTCTTCTTTCTTTATGGCCTCATAAATTAGTTAAATTTAGCCTCCCACACAAGGTGGTCCCTTATTTTCCTACTTGACAGATGCAACTGTCTTTCGGGTTGCAAAGGTCGACAACGGGCTACACAATGGCTGGACACCCACTCCAGCCCGGGCTGGCTTCGAACTCATGACCTTTTGGTCAGAGTGATCTTAATGCAGCTGACACTCAGCCAGCTGCGCCACAATTTTTACTCTTTTACCTCTTTATAAGATGAGACTGAGTATTTATTTATTTATTTATTGCATTTGTTGACCGCCGTTCTCAGCCCTTTCGGGCGACTCACGGCGGTGTACAACATATAAAAACAGTTTACAATACAACCCTCATACAACACAGTATGCACGTAACATCAATAATACAACAATAATTACTCTAAATCAGGGGTAGGGAACCTTTGGCCCTCCAGCTGTGGTGGACTTCAACTCCCACAATTCCTTGAGGCTTGGCATTCGCCCCAAAGGCTTACCTTGGCCCAATGCCGAGCCTCAAGGAATTGTGGGAGTTGAAGTCCACCACAGCTGGAGGGCCAAAGGTTCCCTACCCCTGCTCTAAATCATCCGCGTCGTCTCATCGTAAAATCATAAACCAATCTCGTATTCCATATTCCGTTCCAGTCATCAATGCCAGTTGTTGTAATGCTTAGTTGAGTAAGCAAGTTTGCTCCAAGACCTTTTCTATCTAGAACTCAACAAGTATTTTGAACCTAAAGTTCTGTCTCTGCAATCCTTGTGCCTTCCTGTTTAATGTTTGATTTTATATTGCTGTGTGGTCTATTATATTTTGCATTTTCTGTTTTTGTTATGTTTTTGTAATATTGTGTATATTGTACTGATGGGCCTGGCCTCATGTAAGCCGCCCTGAGTACCCCTGGGGGAGATGGAGCAGGGTATAAATAAATAAATAAATAAATAATAATAGTAATAATTGAATAGAAGCTTATCCAGGCTTACCACATGTAAGTTTTTGTTGGTTATGAAGTGTGCTTCTAGCACTCTGCTATATTTATTGTGCAATCACCCCAAGTGAGGGTTATTTTTCAGCCTGACAGATTCCCCAGCAATGTAAATGCAGTAAATAAATAGTATTCACCCCACTCACCGTCCCCTGGGATATTTATTATTTATTTATTTATTTATTTAATACACTTGTATACCGCTAATATCTCAGCCTAAATCGGCGACTCATTGCGGTTTACAGCAATTAAAAGCAATGTACAATTTAAAACAACAACACGTAAACAATACAAATTATTGGGCCACCAATAATAATACCATGCTTCTCGTCACAAAAATCACAGTCCAGAGTTCGTCATCCATAATTAACCAGTCCTTAGTCTATAAATTCAATAGTAACAAACTAATTGAATGCTTGTTTACACAACCATGTTTTTAATCTCTTCCGAAAGACCATCAGCGAAGAGGCTGATCGTATCTCTATAGGGAGGGTGTTCCAAAGCCGAGGGGCCACCACAGAGAAGGCCCTGTCTCTCGTTCCCGCCAGCCGCACTTGGGAAGCCGGTGGGATAGAGAGCAGGGACTCTCCAGAAGATCTTAGGGTCCTGGTGGGCTGATAGGCTGAGATACGTTCGGATAGATAAGTTGGGCCAGAACCGTTTAGGGCTTTAAAGGCCAACGCCAGCACTTTGAATTGAGCCCGGTAGCATATCGGCAGCCAGTGGAGCTGGTGCAGCAGAGGAGTTGTGTGCTCCCTGCACCCCGCTCCTGTTAGTATCATGGCTGCCGCCCGTTGGACTAGTTGGAGCTTCCGGGCTGTCTTCAAAGGCAACCCCACGTAGAGAGCGTTGCAGTAATCAAGGCGGGATGTAACCAGAGCATGGACTACTGTGGCTAAGTCGGACTTCCCAAGGTACGGTCGCAGTTGGCGCACAAGTTTTAATTGTGCGAATGCTCCCCTGGTCACCGCCGAAACCTGGGGTTCCAGGCTCAGCGATGAGTCCAGGATCACACCCAAACTGCGAACCTGCGTCTTCAGGGGGAGTGCGACCCCATCCAACACAGGTTGTAATCCTATACCCTGTTCGGTCTTACGACTAACCAGGAGTACCTCTGTCTTGTCTGGATTCAATTTCAATTTGCTTTTTTTTTTTTTGCTTTTTTTTTTTTTGCTTTTTACTCTTCTACCTCTTTATAAGATGAGACTGAGTAAAGCAAGTTTGCTCCAAGACCTTTTATATCTAGAACTCAATAAATATTTTATAATAATAATAGTAGTAGTAGTAATAATAATAATAATACTTTATTTGTATACCGCTCCATCTCCCCAAGGGGACTCAGAGCGGTTCCCAGGTAACATCACAAAACATATGAAGTAACAAACAACATAACCATAAGATTAACAAAACTAAATATAAGCATAAAAATTGTCACCATAACACACATACATTAGAAGTAAGCCTGCCTGTTCAAAGCAATTTAAAAATTTAAGACTTGTGCAAGACCAAAAGTTCTATGGGGCCCGGGAATTAAGTGCAACGCTATGGCAGGCAACAATAATATGAGGTAGGGGTCTGTGGCTGTTCATTCCGGGGCCGATTAGAGGAAATGATCCGGGTAATTGGTAGGAAGAAGAAGGCCGCATTCGACAATGTGTAAGACTGAGTTAGAACTGGTCATTTTCAAAGGCTTGTTAAAACCACCAGGTCTTCAAGCTCTTACGAAAGGAGGAGAGGGATGGGGTCTGTCTTATTTCCCTTGGAAGAGCGTTCCAGAGGCGGGGGGCCACCACCAAGAAGGCCCTCTCTCTTGTCCCCACTAACCACGCTTGAGACAGTAGTCGGACCGAGAGGAGGGCCTAAAGTTCTGTCTCTGCAATCCTGTGCCTTCCTGCTGAATGTTTCCGCTGGTTATGAAGTGTGCTTCTAGCACTCTGCTATATTTATGGAGGAATCACCCCAAGTGAGGGTTATTTTTCAGCCTGACAGCTCAGATTCCCCAGCAATGTAAATGCAGTAAATAAACAGTGTTGACTCCACTCACCGCCCCCCGGGAACAGTGCTGTCGCTGCGGAAGACGGAGTTCTCTGCGGGGGGTGCGCTCCGTCGGTGCAGCTGAGAGCAGGAGAGGGAGGCCAGGACGCTGGCGGCAGCCCCGGCTGTGCTGCCCCGATGAGCGAAGAGCCGCCGCTCCGAGTGGGAGGCCATGCTGGCCGCTGAGAGAACCGGGTGGGCCAAAACGCTGGCCAAGAGAGCATCCGGCTGCAGAGGCGGGAAGAGAGCGGGGACAGAGGGTCAGGGAGCCCACCCAGAGCGGCCTCGCTGGACCCTCCTCCCAATTCCTCCTGACGCCCTTGTGGACTCACCACGGTGCCGAGCCCCTCGTCGGAGAGCAAGGAGGCGCCCAGGGGAGCCTCAGCCAGGAGGCGCTGGGCGGGGGGCGCTTGGGCCGCGTCCTGCTGCACCTTCTCCTTGAGGTGCCCGATGAAGAGGGAGCTCTCCGGGGGCGGCTGCCAGCGGGGGTTGGCGATGGCAAAGTGGACCAGGGAGAGCTCCGTCTTGCCGTTCTCCGCCTGCTGCTGCTGCTGCACCACCGAGACCTCCGCCCGGCCCTGGGACAGCCACTGCGGGGGACACAAGGCACACAAGGGGAGTCAGGGCGCACCCTCCACTCTGCTCAGGCCTGGAACGACCTTGTGCCAAATTCAGGGCCACACAATCCAAGAGAGACATGGACTCTGAATGACTCCCTCTGAAGCAGGCATGGGCAAGTTTCAACCCTTCCTCCAGGTGTTTTGGACTTGAACTCCCACAATCCCTGCCCTCAGGTCCTTTCCTTTTCCCCCTCAGCCGCTTAAGCGGAGGGAGGGCCATTCGTGTTCCTTGCGCCCAAACACGAATCATGGAACAAGAAAGGCACTGCAGACTCCTTCAACCAGAGAAGTCAGCCATAGCCGAGCACCTGATGAACTAATCTTGACGCAGCATATTATTGGAGAACACAGAAATGCTGGACCACTCTCACAACCACCATGCCTGACGACACAAGAGATGCCATCCAAATCCACAAAAAGCTTGTGGACCATTTCAACAGAAAGGAGGAAATCATGAAAATGAACAAAATCTGGCTACCAGTATTTAAAAACTCTAAAATCCTAACAGTAAATAAAGAACAAAACTCAATGAAAACTTAGTCAACCAAGGAGTGAGTCCAAGACCCCCAACTCCCGCTCTCAGTCCGCTCAGACCGCCCTACCTGGGGGTTGCCGTGGTTGCGGATGTCCAACTGGGCGAAGGAGCAGATGTCCCCGACGCCCACCACCTCCACGGAGAAGTTGCGGAAGAAGTCGATGATGTCGAGGGCCCGGGCACGGAGGGGGAAGATGAGCAGGAAGGGCGTCACAATGGGGCTCAGCAGCTCCTCCAAGATGAACACCTGGTGGTCAAAGCAGGGCAGGTGAGGGTGCTCCTAGACCCACCTCCTCCCTTACTATCCTCTTCCCAACAAACAGAAAGGCAGGCTGCTTTTCCCAAAAGGCCAGGCCCACTTTCAGGTGGGATGGAAAGCTACAAGAGGCCTTTCCGCTGTTCCTGGGGTTCCCCTGTGCAACTTCTCTTAGGCCCCGCTCAAGGCCTTTCCCGGGCAGGAGCAGTGGTGCAAGTGTATATTGAGTCTATTGAGTATATCCCCCACTCCTCTACCCAGGACCCTACTCACAGCCTTGTACTGGAACAGCTGGGAGAGCTCCTCGCGTGTCTCCGACTTGTGCGCGTTGCCCTGCCAGTGGTCCGGGATGTAGTGGATATGGGCCAAGACACACTGCAGCAACTGTTCTGGGCACCAGACCATGTGCTCATCCGGGATGAACGACCTGCCAAGAGAAAGCGGGGTTGGGGGTCCCATCCATCGTGAGGAAGGCCGGTACCAAGTGTGGGAAGCATTTTATTAATAGCTACATGTCATGACCCTTTTTGAAGTGGACTGTGGCATGACATTCTGCAATACGTGCTGAATTGAACACTATTTTGTGTCTTAATATTTGCACTAAAATGTGAGATGCAAGGCCAGAAAGTTGTTTTTGTTCTTTACAATATGTTCTGTCTACTTGATCTTTATGAAACAATTTGTTGTACGCAGAGCAAAGAGGGACAGAGAGAACTCTGTGGTGGAGGCCTGCTGTCTGGTTTTCCGTCTTTGTTTCCTCAATCTATGCAACTCAAGGTGCTTTGCTTCCTGCCTGCATGGAGAGGTCACTTCCCTCTTCTTCTTCTCCCCAAAAGTCTTTTATTTTATTTCCCTTTGTTTGAGAAGAGAGGCCTCTCCCTGGCTCAAGAGGCCTAGCGCACAGAAGCATGAGCAGCAGCATTAGGGACTCTTCTACCAAAGTTAGTGTCAGAAATATGAAATATTAAATACTAACTAGGTATTTTTGATTACAAAAGTGTGAGTCAAGCACTGAAAGAGTTAGTAGGCCGAAGCCTCTTAGAGTCAGTGGGCCAAAGCTAGTGTCGTCCTGAGGAGTGTGAGGCAAACGTCAGTGTGAGAGAAGCCTCGTGTGAGAAAGCTCCAGTGTGAAGGTTGCTGTGCAGAGACATGAGCAGCAGGGACTCTTCTACCAAAGTTACTCTCAGAAATATTAAAGGTATTTTTGATTACAAAAGTGTGAGTCAAGCACTGAAAGAGTGAGTAGGCCGAAGCTAGTGTTGTCCTGAGGAGTGTGAGGCAAACCTCAGTGTGAGAGAAGCCTCATGTGAAAAAGTTCCAGTGCGAAGGCTGCTGTGTGTAAAGCTACTATATATTAAATACTAACTAGGTATTTTCAATTACAAAAGTGTGAGTCAAGGACTGAAAGAGTTAGAAGGCCAAAGCCTGTTAGAGTTAGTGGGCCAAAGCTAGTGTTGTCTTGAGAAGTGTGAGGTAAACCTCAGTGTGAGAGAAGCCTCATGTGAGAAAGTTCCAGTGTGAAGGCTGCTGTGTGTAAAGCTACTATGAAAGTATGTATTTATTTGTGTTATGGAAACCTACTCCTTGTAAATAATGCAACCATATTATTTTACTACAAAGAAAAGCCTCCCATGGTGCTGGGTCACGCTGCTGCTAGTAAGTTACTCTGCTGTGCATTTATGAGGAGGGTCTTTTGTTAATAAGCCCACTTGCCCAACAGTTAGATCACTTTCTTCTGTCAATCTACAATGTATGTGAGAGTGCTTTGCTTCCTGGCTGCACAGAGAGGTCACTTCCCTCTTCTTCTTCTCCCCAAAAGTCTTTTATTTTGTTTCCCTTTGTTTGAGAAGGGAGGCCTCTCCATGGCACAAGAGGCCGAACGCACAGAAGCATGAGCAGCAGGGATTCTTCTACCAAAGTTACTGTCAGAAATATGAAATACTAACTAGGTATTTTCAATTACAAAAGTGTGAATCAAGAACTGAAAGAGTTGTAAGGCCGAAGCCTCGAGATACAAGCAATATATTCATTTCAAAGCAAAACCGGCTTGTGAGTGGTTATTTAATATTGCTATATAGATCGTACAGTCTTACAGAGGGGCAGCAGCAAGGACTCGGCTAGCAAAGTTAAGCTACTTGCCTTTTGCTTATTTATTTGCCTTTGCCTGAGGTGCACCCGAGTTTTTTACGTCTTCCAAAGCTTCCCAGAGCATCACCCTGCATATTTCCCCTCCTGTTTCCAATCATGAGCTCATATGCCACACTCTGCTATAGATCCTAAATTGTAAGAATAACAACAACACTAGATCCCAAGTACGGCGGGACTTGCCTGGCGACGGTGACGACGAGGCCCAGGAGGGTGATGGCGGTGAGGATGTGCTGGACGGTGAGGACGTCCTCGTCGTAGACGGTGAGGGCGATGAGGACGGCCAGGATGGAGCCGGCGAAGAAGGCCACGTTCTTGGCCAGGGTGCTGAGCAGGGGGCTGGCGAAGGAGTTCATGTACTTGGAGGCCGGTTTGTAGCCGCGTCCGAGGCGGGCCTGCAGCTCGTGGTCCAGCTCGTTGAAGTGCCGCAGGTAGAGGCGGCCGTAGAGAGACCAGCGCCGGGCGCCCAGGCTGCCGGGCTCGCGCTTGAGGACCTCGGTGTAGCTGAAGAAGGCGTAGAGGCCCTGCCAGACCAGGACGAAAGGGCAGAGCAGCAGGTTGGCCAGGCCCAGGAGCAGCATGGCGCGGGCCAGGCGGCGGGCCAGTTCCAGCCGGGCCCCCGCCCGCTTGTACTGGGGCTGGAGGTTCCACTTGCCCTGGAAGAGGGAGCCGGGCCCCCAGAAGAAGAGCAGCTCCAGGTTGTACTTGAGGCCCTGCGTGAGGAAGACCCCGCGGCCCAGGAGGGGCAGCCGGAAGCGCAGAGGCAGCAGGCCCTTGTTGACCAGCGCCACCAGGTAGTTCTTGAAGCGCAGGATGCGGTGGTGGATGTCCAGCTCAGAGAGCTCCCGCTTGTGGACGCACATCTGCTGCTCCCGCTGCAGCGAGATCAGCCGCGACTGCACCTCCTGCCAGCTGCAGTTGCACAACTCCGCCTGGGCAGAGAGAGAGAGGGGTTGCGGAAGAGAAGAGAGAGAAGAGGGGTTCAATGATGGAAGGGAAGAAGGATCCACACTTGGCTATCAACGAGGGAAAAAGGGGACCCAATGGGGCAAGTCCGCTGCCTTGTTTTCGCCTCTGTTTCGCAGATCTACATCACTCAAATCTACGTAACTTATTTATTTATTACACTAGTTGTCCCCTGACACACGTTGCTGTGGCCCACATGGGGGTTCTGTGTGGGAGATTTGGCCCAATTCTATCGTTGGTGGGGTTCAGAATGCTCTGTGATTGTAGGTGAACTATAAGTCCCAGCAACTACAACTCCCAAATGTCAAGATTCTACTTTCCCCAAACTCCACCAGTGTTCACATTTGGGCCTATTGAGTATTCGTGTAGAGTTTGGTCCAGATCCATCATTGTTTGAGTCCATAGTGATCTCTGGATGGAGGTGAACTACAACTCCAAAACTAAAGGTCAATGCCCACCAAACCCTTCTGGTGTTTTCTGTTGCTCATGGGAGAACTGTGTGCCATGTTTGGTTCAATTCCATCATTGGTGGGGTTCAGAATGCTCTTTAATTGTAGGTGAACTATAAATCCCAGCAACTACAACTCCCAAATGACAAAATCAATTTTTTTGGAGTGAAGGACATGCATTGGATTGTTAGGTGTCTTGTGTCCAAATTTGGTGTCAATTCGTCCAGTGGCTTTTGAGTTCTGTTAATCCCACAAACGAACATGACATTTTTATTTATATAGATTTACTAGCCATCCCCTGCCATGCCTTGCTGTGCCCCAGTCTGTGTGTATGTGTTTTTTGTGTTTGTTTATATATATGTGTGTGTGTTATGTGTGTATATATTTTTGTGTATATGTGTGTTTGCATATATATATATGTGGGTGTATATATGTGTGCATATATTTGTGTATTTGTGTGTTTATATGTGTATATGCATATTGTGTATATGTATGTGCTTGTCTATATGCATATTTGTGTGTGTATATGTGTGTGTGCATGCATATATGTTTATGTGTGTATATATGTATATTTGTGTGTGTTTATGCATATATATATATATGTCTGTGTAGTGTGTATGAATGTGTATATGTATATGAGTGTATATGTGTATATGGTGTATTTTGGGAGTTTTCAAAACTGTTCCGCTGGGGTTTCTGTGTGTGTGTGTGATTTTTTTAGGGGTGGACTGTTAGGTGTATTGTGTCCAAATTTCGTGTCAATTTGTCCACTGTTTTTTGAGTTATGTTAATCCCACAAACAAACATTGCATTTTATTTATATAGATATACCACTTTTCTCAGCCTGCTTATGTTTGTGTTCTCAAAACGTGAAACTTAGCTGGTCAATTGACTTGACATTTCAACACAACGTTACATTCCAATACACGCGGGTTTTTTATAATAAAATGAAATTTTGACACAACGTTGCATTCGAATATATTTAGTGTTAAACTAGAAGTCCAGGAATTGACAGTGGAATCTGTGATGTCCAAAGCAACCACTCACAGCCTACCTTTCATTTTACCTCAGCAGTGTAAGAAATGAAAACTGAGCTCAAGCAAACAATTGCTGCGCAGCTTTTCTTTTACCTCAGCACTAAAAGAAATAACAAGCTGTCACCGAGCAGCTTTTATTTTACCTCAGCAATGTAAGAAATGAAAACTGAGCTCAAGCATTCAATTGCTGCACAGCTTTCCTTTTTACCTCAGCACTAAAAGAAATAACAACCTATCACTGAGCAGCTTTCATTTTACCAAACACAGCATGGCTTTCCTTTTACCTCAGCAGGTAATGTCAATTCACCACAGCAATATAAAAAATGAAACCTGAGCTGGTTGCTATTGGCATACCACTCATTCCGATGGACATGGTGTTCGAGTACTAATGACTTCGATTTCCAATACGCCTTGCGTTCACTATGACTATCAATAAAGCACAGGGGAAATCTTTGCAAGTGTGTGGTTTGAATTTAGAAAACAATTGCTTCTCTCAGGGGCACTTGTACGTCGCTTGCTCCAGAGTCGGCAAACTGTCAGACCTTTATGTTTATGCAGAAAATGGACAAACCAAAAATGTAGTCGATCCACTAGCTTTAGAACAAAAAAAAAAAAAAACTCTTAAAAACCTCTTTTCCTTTCCTTTTCTTTCCTTCCACAGAGACGCAGCAACCCAAGGCAGGGTACTGAACTGAATCATGCGTTTTCTCAATCTAACAATACTTTTATTTATTATCTCATTCATTTCATATCAGACTGAGCCACAGCAAAGCATGGTCAGGTATAGCTAATAAAATCTATATAAATAAAAATGTAATGTTCGTTTGTGGGATGAACAGAACTCAAAAGCCACTGGACGAACTGACACCAAATTTGGACACAAGGCACCTCTCAGGCCAACGAGTGACCATCACTCAGGAAAACACTGGAAAACACAACAGAAGGGACTTAAAAAGTTAAAAAACAAAAAAACACATTACATCACATGTGGAAAACCACATATATATATGCAAACACACCTATATACACATATATACACACATATACACATTTGAAAAGCCACATTTTAAGTTGTTTCCTAGACACGAGGAGGGAGCGGGCCGAACTAATCTCACTGGGCTACCCCAGCTCCTTTGTCATCCTGTCACATTCTCCCTTTGGCATCAGCTTACTTCAGCTCTTGCAAACTGAGTTCAAAATGCAAAACTAGCTCATACTAAGTTAGCTCAGCAGGAGGAGTAAAGAGAAGAGGCAAAATCTTGCCCCTCCCAGTGAACTGTTGGGGTTCAGCCTGAGTTTGAACCTGATTCTCTGTTTGTACCTCCTGATGCTAATGAAAATATATTTACTGGTGCTAATGAAAATGTACTTCTTGATGTCAATGATCCTGAAATTAGTGACAATGCTCCTGAAATTAGTGAGGAAGAAACTTCTGCAGATTTGGAAAATGAAAGTACTAGTGTTCATGAGAATGTTTCAGAGGGAAGCCATGACCTTTCACTCCCTTCTGCACCTGGGATCCCTAATGAGAATAGAAGGGGGCAGGTCTGGCAAGACAGGAGTGAATCACTCAGCTTGCGAAGGTCGTCGAGATTAAAAGAAAAACAAACAAGGGCTTCAAAGCAGGGAGGCGTATCATGGAACCAATTCTTCGGCTTTAAGTGCCTTTTGCCGGGCTGACTTTCTCAGTTCAGGCATCGTTTCAGATTGATGAGTACCTTGGCAATTCTCCTGGTTCCCTTAGCCATTGTCTTGAGAAATTTCTAGGACACCAAGTACGGTTAGTGGATTGCTAACAGGTTCCAGTGTTTTACAGTGTGGCTTTGGGTTTTGATCTTGTTCATGGACGTTCATGTTTGCTGATTTTGCTGTGGCTTTTGACTTTGCACTTTTCCTTTATTTTGTAACAATTTTTCTTCAATAAAAAAGGATTGTTTTTTCACAGTCAAGTGTGGTGGATGGTTATCTTAGGGCCTCGTTTCCTGCAACATGAACTCGGGCAAAACCAAACTGCTGCACACCCTCCTAGCTGGTGTGTTCCTCCTCATTAATAACTTTTACTATCTTGGTCACACTCTGACATGGCTTGGTCCTCCATATCCTAGTTATTACTGTGAAATGTTGGTGGGCAAGCAATTTCCGATCCCAACTAGACACATTGAATCAATCACTGAAAGGTGAAGCTAACATATAAATCCCCATGTCATCACAGGGCAGGGCAGGGCAGGACCCCCAGCTGGAGCCCATCTTCCCCAGAGGGACCCCCATTGTCAGCCTTCACCCCCCCCCCCCCAGGGCACTCACAGAGGGGATCTTGAGGGCCTTGGTGTAGAAGGCGCGGATCTCCCAGTAGCCCAGGAGGCTGCAGAGCACCTTAACCAGGCGGTAGAGCCAGAAGATGGCCGCCATGGCCAGCAGGAAGATGAGCCAGCCGCTGGACCGGATCCTGGCAGAGGGAGGGAAGAATGAGCCATGAGGGAGAGCCCCATCATTACCCCGTTTCGTTACCCAAATATTCTCTTGGTTCCATTAATCAGCTTGGGTTAAATATCTAGATGAAAGGGCAGCTGGTTGATCACAGAATAGTAGAATTAAGTGTCAGATTACAACTGTAGAGAGGACAGCTGGAAATGTTGTCTTTGACTTCAGTATTATATTGTTTGAGTTCACTTTTTGCACCATGTTATTGTTGTGGTATGCAGATTGAATATAATAAAAAAGATATGGGGAGAAAGAAATCTCACTTATACGTTTGTTTCAGGGTTTCTGGACCAACTCCAATTGCTATTCCCAGAAACCAAGGTTGTTGTTGGTGGACTGAACACCTCCTCCATATTGGCTGCATGACAGCCTTCAACCTGCAGCCCTCCAGGTGTTTGGGCCTCCAACTCCAATGTAATGCAATATAATAATGATATTATAATTATATATTGTCAGGTTTTACAATGTATTGTAACGTAATATAGCTGAGTCATGCACTGCTAATAGGCTTCTATTGGAAATGCTGAGTCATGCATTAACTGTATATAGAACTTCATTTGGGGAATGTGTTCTGGCCTAGTCCAGGTGATTGTGAATGATGTAATCCTGGGTCTGAGTTATGTTAATGAGTTGGGAACCAATCAGAGATTGCTATGTGTAATTGTATAGAATTGTATATAAGGAAGTCATGTACAGTGTATATCTCTCCTTGTGCTGTGATGCTGTTTGCCGAAGGCTCTGTGTAATTTATTAAAGGAACCTGTCTGCTAAGACAAGATACAACTGTGTGCTGTGGCAAGTTTGTAGTGTCATCTAGATTGGAGGGGAAAACAATGGTAAAACTGACAATGGTCGGGCATGTGCTCAAGTGGCTGTAAAGAGTTCTAGACTGACTGCAGTTTGTGGGAGCAGTTGACTGAAAATACTGTGCAGGAAGAAGCTACTGGAAAGCACTGAAGAAGTGCAACTGATCTGCTGCTGAATTGTGAGATGAAGCGTGACATATATTTATATTACATGTAATATTACTAATAATATTACAATATAATGGTATAGTAAAATATAGTAATATATAATACTGATATTGTACTATGCTAATAATATAATATATTGCATGTTTATATATCTTGTAAGCTGCTCTGAGTCCCTTTCGGGGTGAGAAGGGCAGCATAGAAATGTCGTAAATAAATACATAAATAAACTCCCAGAAGCCTCTATTTCCAGCTTGTTCAATGGTCAGAAATCCTAGCAGCTTTAGTCCAAAATATGTGGAGGGGTGCAGGTTGAAGAAGCCTTAGCCAAGGATCACAGAGGCCTTGCGCCTGCCCCCCTTATGTGTGCAGCCTGGAAGAGGGGTCCTGGGAGCTCCCCCGGTGCAGGGATCAAAGGGCACCACAGACCCCCCCTCTCCCCAGCATCCCCTTACCTCTGGGTGCACTGGGCGGTGGGCAGGATGGCGTCCGGCAGCGTCACTTTGTTCCTGTCCAGCTGAGTGTGGTTGAGGGGCCGGTTGGCAAAGAGGACGTCGTACTCCACGCAGCAGAGCAGGAAGGTGGTGAAGGCCACCACAAACAGGAACTGCCTTTTGGGGGAAGGAAGCAAGCAAGCAAGAAAGCAAGCAAGCAAGCAAGGAAGGAAGGAAGGAAGGAAGGAAGCAAGGAAGGAAGGACAGTCAGTTGAGGCAGGAAAGGGTTGGGGTGTATCAACAGCGACAGACCAAACTCGCACCTTGGAGCCTGGGAGACTACCCAGCCAGTTTTACGTTGAATCAATATTCTGTGTATTTTAATATGTATTTTGTGGAAATAGGTTTTAATATGTGTTTTTTGTAGAATGTTTTTAGACGATTGTGTGTTTTAGCGATGTTGTAACCCGCCACGAGGACAAGCAGGTAAGCAATAAAATTATGATTATTATTTATTCATGCCAAATGGAGGAAGGCCAGCCTCATTCCTTCAGCTTCATGCACCTCACCCTACTCTCATCCTCACCCTTCATTGGGGTTGTAGCTATAGAACAACACTGGAGGAAGAGGGAACCCTGTGGAAAGGGTCTCCTGACGTGGTTTCCCGTTCCCTAGATTGATGTAGCTCAAGGTGTTTCGCTTCCTGCCTACATGGACAGGTTGCTTCCTCCTCCTCCTCCTCCTCCTCCCTAGAAGTCTTTATTGTGCTGTTATAACCCTTTTGTTTGAGAAGGGAGTGTCAGAAATTAAATAGGCATTCATTTTTGTAATTAAATAGGCATTTTAAATTTAACAAATGTGAGTCAAGCACTGAAAGGGTTAAATGGATGCAATGATTCAGCAAAAGCTTCAGTTCTATACAAGCAGGTGTGGTTGTAGCTTAGTTTGCCTCAGTGTGAGTGAAGGCTTCAGTGAGAGTTTGCCTCAGTATTCGCCTCAGTGTGATCGAAGACTTCAGTGAGAGTTTGCCTCAGTGTTAGTTTGCCTCAGTGTGAGTGAAGGCTTCAGTGAGAGTTTGCTTCAGTGTTAGTTCGCCTCAGTGTGATCAAAGGATTCAGTGAGAGTTTGCCTCAGTGTTAGTTTGCCTCAGTGTGATCGAAAGCTTCAGTGAGAGTTTGCCTCAGTGTTAGTTTGCCTCAGTGTGATCGAAGGCTTCAGTGAGAGTTTGCCTCAGTGTTAGTTCGCCTCAGTGTGATCGAAGGCTTTAATGAGAGTTTGCCTCAGTGTTAGTTCGCCTTAATGTGAGTGAAGGCTTCAGTGAGAGTCTGCCTCAGTGTTAGTTCGTCTCAGTGTGATCGAAGGCTTCAGTGAGAGTTTGCCTCAGTGTTAGTTTGCTTCAATGTGAGTGAAGGCTTCAGTGAGAGCTTGCCTCAGTGTTAGTTCGCCTCAGTGTGATTGAAGGCTTCAGTGAGTTTGCCTCAGTGTTAGTTTGCTGCAGTGTGATTGAAGACTTCAACGAGCGTTTGCCTCAGTGTTAGTTCGCCTCAGTGTGATCGAAGGCTTCAGTGAGAGTTTGCCTCAGTGTTAGTTCGCCTCAGTGTGACTGAAGGCTTCAGTGAGAGTTTGCCTCAGTGTTAGTTCGCTGCAGTGTGATTGAAGGCTTCAGTGAGAGTTTGTCTCAGTGTTAGTTTGCTTCAATGTGATTGAAGGCTTCAGTGAGAGTCTCCCTCAGTGTTAGTTCACCTCAGTGTGAGAAGGTGTCTGTCTGAAAGGCCTCAGTGAGAGAGGCCTCAGTGTGAGAAGGTCTGGTGTGAGAAACCCCAGGTTGAAGGCCTCGGGTGTGAAGCTCCAGTATGAAGACTGCTGTGTATAAAGCTGCTGTGTGAAGCTCCTGTGTAAAGGTTGGTGTGAGAAGAGGCTCTATGAGAGCAAAGCTGTTTATCTGCATGAGAAAGATGCCCAGTGTGGAAGCAAAGAAGGGTGTGTAAAGACCTTGGTCCGTGTTATGAAAACCTTGTTTTTGTATATAGTGCCACCATATTATTTTGCTATAAAGAAAAGCCTCCTAAAGAAGAGATAACATTGGTCTTCTGTGTTTTTGTTCTTTTTATCACTTTGGGCCACTGGTTCTGGGTCACGCTGCTGCTAATAAATTACAGTACTCTACTGTACATTTATGAGGAGGGTCTTTTGTTAAGAAGCCCACTCGCCCAACAGACCACGAGGCCTCTCTCTGCCTCATGATGCTTTACACAGAGATATGAGTGACAGCATTAAGGGCTCTTCTACTAAAGTTGGGTCACTTTCTTTTGTATATTTACTCTTCTATCTGAAATGCATTACTATAAACAATAAAAGCAAGTTTTTACCCTTTAAAAGAATCTTCCCAGGGCATCATCCTGCTTACTCTCCCACGTTTCCTGCCACAATACCATATATAGCACCCCAATACTTACACCAGCTCAAAGACATCAGAAAGCATCATGCAGGCAAAGCCGTTCTTCTGGTGGAAATGGTAGATGTACACAGGGACCGTCAAGGAAAATCATGCTTTCATGCGCAGCAAGGATACCACTTTACGGCGCTTATGTAGAAAATGGAGGACTGCCCAGTGGCTCAATGGAAAACACTTCCTCCCCCCAATGTTTGCCCAACTGGCTCCAAAATAGGGATCCCAAGGCAACCGCCCCAACCCAACAGCCCAGGTGCTTCCCACCTCAAACACATGGATAGACCCACCGCCTTCTTGGATGTGGGGCAAAAAGCCTCCTGTTCCATACCAGTAGGGTTCATGCACTCCTTTCTTGTTCAGATTGTGAAGGGAAGACCCTTCACCCACCCTCTGGAACAATGGTTCTGAACCTGTGGGTCCCCAGGTGTTTTGGCCTACGCCAGAGCAGCCTTAAGGTTTTAAATTTTGTGTCTTATTGCTTATATATGAGTTATATTAATTGTACTGTTTTATTTGCTTGCTGCTTTGTTGTTTACTGATGTGTTGTTGGGCTTGGCCTCATGTAAGCCGCCCCGAGTCCCCTTGGAGAGATGGTGGCAGGGTATAAATAAAGTTTTATTATTATTATTATTATTCCCAGAAATCCCAGCCAGTTTACCAGCTGTTAGGATTTCTTGGAGTTGAAGGCCAAAACACCTGGGAACCCACAGGTGGAGAACCACTGAGATAATCTTGGGACATTCTGGTGCTGTCTCTCAAGGTTGCTCTGGCGTGGACGGTGCCAGAGGTTTATAATAATAATAATAATAATAATAATAATAATAATAATACTTTATTTATACCCCGCCACCATCTCCCCAAGGGACTTGGAGAGGCTTACATGAGGCCAAGCCCAACAACACATCGATAAAAACAACAAACAATAGTAAAAACAACAAGCAATAAGCAAAATAAACAATACAATTAGTATCAAACTGCTTTCACTCCAATGTATAGATTAGGCATGAGCAAACCTGGGCCCTCCAAGTGTTTTGGACTTCAACTCCCACAATTCCTAACAGCCTCAGGTCCTTTCCTTGTTGCCCTCAGCCACCTCCAGTCTTTGTTCTGAGGGGGAGGAGGACAAGGATGGCACACTCCTCCTCTGAGTACATCTCATTTGTTTCTCCCACCCACTCAGGACCCACTCCTCCTCTCTTGACCCATGGATAAGGGGCAGCCTCTCTTCTCAAGGCTCACAGCTGTAAGAGCAGAGCCACGCATGATGCTGCGCCCACATGAAGTGCGTCCTTGACCTGAGAACACCGCTGTCACTACCAGGAAGGATATCTTGGTGAAGAAGTTGTCCAGGTTTTTGATGTGATGCCAGGAATCTGGGAAGGAAGGAAGGAAGGAAGACAACTTTTCAGCTTGGTCGGAAGACCACGGCTTCCCTCTGTGTCCGACCCACCTTTGCTCCATCTCACCCTTCAGCCCCTCCGTGACGTGGATCAGCAGCTCCTCCTCTTCCTCCGGGGGAGAGTCGTCTTCGTAGTCCGGCAGGCGATGGTAGTCGCCATAGTGCTCCTGGCTCACAGCCATCGGGGCAAATGGGGCTCACGGACCCTGTCCGGGAAGAAAGGGAGGAGAAGGAGGAAGAGGGATGTTCGTGACGCAAGGCCAAGGCTATTGTTTTAAGGTTGCCAGCACCCACGGCTAATCTGCAGGTAGCCAGACACCCCTGCCTTCACAACCCTGGGCAACCCTTTTCCCACGACCTTTGGTGCTTCTGGCTGGGCATTGGCCCCAAGACCTTGTCTGGTTACAACAAATGCCCATCTGTTGGGAGGGCTTAGATTGTGCCTTCCTGCCTGGCACAAAGGGGTCTCTTCAAACTCTAGGATTTTGTAAAGTCCAGCCCCTAAACATCCTCTGAACAGAGGAAGGACTGCTGTTTAAAATTGTTTGTTCAATTGTTGATAGTAAGCCCCAAACTAGGATGAAGGCAGGAGACAAATAACTTAACTTAACAACAACTACTACTACTATTACTACACAACTACCACTACCTCATATTTTCCTATGATCGTGCCATTACTGCTCAAGCAGGGAGCTTTGAGATGGTTGAACAGAAGCTCTCCGAAGCTCTAGGTGCTCTTACTGCCTATTACAGGGAAAACCAGCTGATCCCTAATCCATCTAAAACACAGACATGTGCCTTTCACCTTAAGAACAGACAAGCATCCCGAGCTCTGAGGATTATTACCTGGGAAGGAATCCCACTGGAGCATTGCAGCACACCCAAATACCTGGGAGTCACTCTGGACCGTGCTCTGACCTACAAGAAGCACTGCCTGAACATCAAGCAAAAAGTGGGCGCTAGAAACAATATCATACGAAAGCTGACTGGCACAACCTGGGGATCACAACCAGATACAGTGAAGACATCTGCCCTTGCGCTGTGCTACTCTGCTGCTGAGTATGCATGCCCGGTGTAGAACACATCTCACCATGCTAAAACAGTGGATGTGGCTCTTAATGAGACATGCCGCATTATCACGGGTGTCTGCGCCCTACACCACTGGAGAAATTACACTGCTTAGCCGGTATTGCACCACCTGACATCCACCGGGAAGGAGCAGCCAATAGTGAAAGGACCAAGGCAGAGACATCTCCAGCTCATCCCCTGTTTGGGTATCAGCCAGCACGTCAACGACTTAAATCAAGAAATAGTTTTCTAAGATCTACAGAGACACTCGCTGGAACACCTCAGCAAGCGAGAGTCCAAAAGTGGCAGGCTCAAACCCAGAACCTCAACCAATGGGTGATACCAGATGAGAGACTCCCCCCTGGGCACACAGAAGACTGGGCGACTTGGAAGGCGCTGAACAGACTGCGCTCTGGCACCACGAGATGCAGAGCTAACCTTCAGAAATGGGGCTACAAAGTGGAATCCACATGCGAGTGTGGAGAAGAGCAAACCACAGACCACCTGCTGCAATGCACCCTGAGCCCTGCCACATGCACAATGGAGGACCTTCTTGCAGCAACACCAGAAGCACGCCAAGGGGCCAGAGACTGGTCAAAGGACATTTGATAGAATACCAAACTTGCATTTTGTCTGTTTGTTTGTTTTGTTAAAAATGTAATACAAATGTCTGATTGCTCCTGACATGATAAATAAATAAAGAAAATATTTTCCTATAGACTGAGACTCAAAGATGGCTTCCAATTCAGAACACACAAATGTCAACATCAAAATAGAATTAAAGTATTCATGACACAGATTGCCTGCTTAATGCTTTTTGTAGGTTGTTTGTTTTCCAAATTGCATCTACTGAGATGTTTTCTTATTATTAGTATTATTTATATAGCTCACAAGACACTGCAGTGCATTTAAAACACAGCCCTACTGTTGTGTTTTAATTCCTTTACCATTTTATTTTGTGTTCGTTTTATTATATGTTTTGTTATTGTTGCACTTTATTTGATGTTATTATTTGCTTGTTTGTATTTTACACAAAATTAGAAACATTGGAGGTAAATTTCAGGCAAAAATTGGTATGATAAGAAACAAAGATGGCAGGGACCTAACAGAAGCTGAAGAGATCAAGAGAAGGTGGCGAGACTATACAGAAGATCTGTATAGGAAGGATAATAATATTGAGGATAGTTTTGACGGTGTGGTGAATGAATTAGAACCAGACATCCTGAGGAGTGAGGTTGAATGGGCCTTAAGAAGCATTGCTAACAACAAGGCAGCAGGAGATGACGGGATTCCAGCTGAACTGTTTAAAATCTTAAAAGATGATGCTGTCAAGGTGATGCATGCCATTTGCAAGCAAATATGGAAAACACAAGAATGGCCATCAGACTGGAAAAAATCAACTTATATCCCCATACCAAAAAAGGGAAATGCGAAAGACTGCTCAAACTTCCGTACAGTGGCCCTTATTTCTCATGCCAGTAAGGTAATGCTCAAGATCCTGCAAGGACGACTCCAGCAATACATGGAGCGAGAGTTGCCAGATGTTCAAGCTGGGTTTAGAAAAGGCAGAGGAACGAGAGACCAGATTGCCAATATCCGCTGGATAATGGAGAAAGGCAGGGAGTTTCAGAAAAACATCTACTTCTGCTTCATTGACTATTCTAAAGCCTTTGACTGTGTGGATCATAATCAATTGTGGCAAGTTCTTAGTGGGATGGGCATCCCAAGCCACCTTGTCCCTCTCTCCTGAGGAATCTGTACAAGGACCAAGTAGCAACAGTCAGAACTGACCATGGAACAACAGACTGGTTCAAGATTGGGAAAAGCGTACGGCAAGGCTGCATCCTCTCACCCAACCTTTTTAACTTGTATGCAGAACACATCATGCGATGTGCGGGGCTGGATGAATGCAAAGCTGGGGTGAAAATTGCTGGAAGAAACATTAACAACCTCAGATATGCAGATGACACCACTCTGATGGCCGAAAGCGAGGAGGAGCTGAGGAGCCTTCTAATCAAGGTGAAAGAAGAAAGCGCAAAAGCCGGGTTGCAGCTAAACGTCAAAAAAACCAAGATTATGGCAACAAGAATGATTGACAACTGGACAATAGAGGGAGAAACCGTGGAGGCCGTGACAGACTTTGTATTTCTAGGTGCAAAGATTACTGCAGATGCAGACTGTGGCCAGGAAATCAGAAGACGCTTACTTCTTGTGAGGAGAGCAATGTCCAATCTCGATAAAATAGTAAAGAGTAGAGACATCAGACTGGCAACAAAGATCCGCCTAGTCAAAGCCATGGTATTCCCTGTAGTAACCTACGGATGTGAGAGCTGGACCTTAGGGAAGGCTGAGCGAAGGAAGATCGATGCTTTTGAGCTGTGGTGTTGGAGGAAAGTTCTGAGAGTGCCTTGGACTGCGAGAAGATCCAACCAGTCCATCCTCCAGGAAATAAAGCCCGACTGCTCACTGGAGGGAAAGATACTAGAGACAAAGTTGAAGTACTTTGGTCACATAATGAGGAGACAGGAAAGCCTAGAGAAGACAATTATGCTGGGGAAAGTGGAAGGCAAAAGGAAGAGGGGCCGACCAAGGGCAAGATGGATGGATGGCATCCTTGAAGTGACTGGACTGACCTTGAGGGAGCTGGGGGTGGTAACGGCCGACAGGGAGCTCTGGCGTGGGCTGGTCCATGAGGTCACGAAGAGTCGGAGACGACTGAACGAATGAACAACAACATTTTACACAAATGTCAACATCAAAATAGAACTAAAGTATTCACAACACAGATTGCCTGCTTGATGCCCTAAGTAGGCGGCTTGTTTTCCAAACTGTATCTACAATTTAAAACTGTGTTAAGAGATCTGGCGTACTGGAACGAAGGTGGGACATAACTGAATCATCCTCGTCGTCATCACCACCTTCATCCCCTCTTCCTCCTGCGAGCCCTGTCTGGTCCTGTCCCATGGAGCATTTCCTGCCTTGAGTCACTTCCTGGTCCGGATGAGGCAGTTGCCCGGGCGACATTCCATCAGCCAAACGCCAAGGGTCTGATTCAGACGGATCAGGGCATGCGCCAGGAAGGGGCCAAAGATGGCACCCCGAGGCACCTGGGCATGGGCCCCAACAGGCACAGACATGCCTTCAAAGGATTTAGAGAGGGCTGGGTTTTAGGGAAGGGGCACTCAGAAGCGGTTTTGCATATCAAATCTCCCCCCCCCCCCCCCCCCCCGCCGGCACCTGGGATTCAGGGACAGGTTCCATCCAAACACTAACTAAACCTGATGATGTTGAGCTTCCAAGATCAGGTTGGTTTGGTGCCAGGGTGGAGGTTCTTCCTCTCCCGCCAGGAAACTGCCAGCCACGCTGGACCAAGATGGCACCCTGTCCATTTTAAGGATAAGCCTTCCTTCTGGGCAAGAGTTCCACCCCAGGCCTTCTTCCCTCCCTGGTGTCCCTCATCGGTGACTCAGAACCACAAAGCCCACCCACCAAATATTCCCATCCCTTCAAAAACACCAAGTCCTCCCTCCACAGCAGCAATAAGGGGCCCTCAAACTAAGGCCCAGGGGCCGGATACGGCCCTCCAAGGTCAAGGGGCCTTCTCGGTGGTGGCCCCTCAGCTCAGGAACTCTCTCCCATTGGAAATTAGAGCTGCCTCTTCCCTCCTGACTTTCAGAAAGCTGGTAAAAACCTGGCTTTGGAATATAGCATTTGCAGAATGATAATCGAGTCAATAACGGCTGACCACACCGGCGGATGGGGATGAATTTGTGATTTTATTTTGACGACCCGGCTTTTGTAATTGCATGATATTGTATGATCTGTATTTTAATGTATTTTGTATTAATGTATTATGATGCTATTATGTTTACTATATTTGTGTTGAATTTTCTGCTGTTAGCTGGCCTGAGTCCCGCTTCAGAGGTCGAGAAGACCGGGTTAGAAAAGCTCTAAATAAATAAATAAATAAATTTGTCCGGCCCTCGCTCAGGGTCAACCTAAGTCGGAAATGACTTGAACGCTCACAACAACAACAACAACAACAGCAATCCTATCTCATCAGCCAAAATTAGGCCCACACTTCCCATTGAAATACTAGTAAGTTTATATTTGTTAAAATTATTCTTCATTTTAATTA